AACTTAGTCTTTCCTAGTTGTTGCCTTAGTTCTATATTATGAGGATCGCTAAAGATTTCGTTAATAGACTATCTTCGGATTTCGTCTTTTATTCCGAAATAGTTACTTTAGTTATAAGACAAAGGCTGGTGAAGACTGATAACGTACAAGAAACACCATGTTACCATTGTTTAAAGGTATGTACCACCACTACGTTAAAATGATAAACCTTAATAAACTCTTAGTCATAAAACGACCACTTTGTTGGTCTGTTCAGTAGAAGATAGCATCATCTTTAGTTTCATTTATATTACTTTACTTACAAACACAACTACTACTTACTACCAAAAAACTAAATATATTAGTATTAAATTAACACTGTGAGGTGTTATGTCATATATATGTGGCGCTCTGTGACTGCATTGCAGTTAAAAAAAGCTATTAAAGAGACGAAATTATACGTTTACATGCATACATAGTATTTCACAACAGGACTACTACACTCAAACAGTGTTCTGTGATGAAGACAAGTGTTAGAGCCACTTGATGGCACAGGAGTTACACAGTAGTTATTGTCTTTTATGTTTAAAGCATCACTCACAATAAGTTGAGCCCAAACTTCTTTGATAGCTAAAAAAATTAAATATGTTATAAATTACGGTAAACTATAATAACCTTTTAACCTGGTCTGTTATAACCTTTTTTGTTATTGTGACCTTAATGACTACCACATACTAGGGATATGTATGTGGCTATACAAGAAAATGCGCCTATTGTCATACACGAGTATGACATAATATACCTATATTTTAATACATGTTCATTTCATTACATTCATATTTTCGTTAAGTTTTTTTTTCGCGGCATTAAGTAACCACGCCATGATTAAAACGACTTTTTTTTAACTAACTTTATAATATATTTGGCCAAACTAACAAACCTACAAATAATTCAAATAAATAAAGCTCCTAATAAATATGAACATGCAGAACAAGTTATTTAAGATACGTTTTATTGATACAAAATTTATTTACGAGATTTTTAAACTACAAAATCTATAATGAAACATTATTTTCAATTTTATTTTCACAAAAAAATTAGTTTATCTGAATCTTATAATAGGTAAAATACCTAAGAAAAATACTGATTTTCATGATTTGAACTGTCACCTGTCATGTCAGATCGGATTTGTCAAATTTGTGATCCAATAAGAAATGTTGTTTTCAACGTGTATCGTGAATAAGTACACGATGAAAAAAGTGCCACCCAGATTTAATTTAGAAGAAATAAGAAGTAAAATACAAGAATTATAAATTGTCTGGAAGAAATTCCAACAGTAATGAATCTTTCTGTTGTAACTTTATAAATAAGTCTTCCAAACAATATATTAATTTCAAAGGAGAGAGAGAAAAACGAAGTGCTCACGGAAAATTACTAAAGTGTTAAAAATTAAACCCATTTTTCCCTGAGTATATTCCCTTAAAGAGATTGGTTCATAATATGTTAAATGCCAATCAAAAAAGACAATATTATTAAAGCAAATGTACAACTACATAGATAAAAATATTTGCAGTAGGTACATAACAACACCACGAAGCTAAAAATCGTCTCTATAAGTAAATTGGATATGATCTATTTAGATTACAAAGAAAAGATTTTGAAAACTCAGCTAAATGTACTGTAATTGGTGCGAGGTGAATTATTTAAAACGCTGGCGGCGAAAAACACTAAGTTTTTAATTATTGTCTGATGCACATATCAAATAATTTATTTGCTGACTAGCACCATGAAAAGACTAACAATAATTTTACAAAATGGGTGACAAAGAAGCTGATTCTAAGTCTTACAAGACCATCGCTGATAGTTACGGATAACGTTAGCTTTCATTCTGGTCTTCAAATTAACAATCTACTTACAAACGCTTATCGTGTCTGTAATAAAAAGAATGGCTCATTGCAAATGAAGTTCACCACATTGAATACTGGACTAAATGTCAATTTTAATAAACCAGATAAAATAACTAATCCTTTTAATGTAAAGTGGCTTACCCTGCCACACTTCGCTGTGGTATTTTGTGGTAGGAAAAATAAATAAAAACCAATTTTGAAGTGTGTTCATGTCAAAATTTGAGCTCAATCGGTGCAGAACTTTTTGAGTTTTTCAAAATTTAGATACATATGATAAAATAACTTTTTACATCTATGGTTTCGGTATGCGCAAATAATAGCGCAATGTGACTTTGCCACTAACGCCGTCTTCTGCTCTAATTTAGATTTTTGGTATCCAACCTAATAAACCGTTGGAACCTTTTAATAGCAGTAAAAGGTTGCTGTGTTCTAATTCACGTAGAACCGCGAGCACAGAGTTAATTTTCGGAATCAAGTATAATACATTACTTAGTAATTGATTAATATTGAACAGCTACATTTAAAAAAAGAATACATGTCAAACCCGGTGTATTTGAGTCGGCTCGTCCCGGGTTATGCTACGTGTAGAAATACTAGCTTACCCAATGATATTATATACAAACAAAGCGTAACTACGCCACCAACGCACAAAATATGTGCTGTGAATTGGTCCTAATTAGGACCACTGCAGGCGAACGCACATACTCATTAATTTGAGAAAATTAATAACATGTCTTCCTGTGTATCCAAAAGTGCAGAAATTACGACAAAAAGGTAAATAAAGATAAAGGAATATCATACCATAGGTAAGTGTGTGTTTTGTTCTAAAATGCATTATTAGATGTATGTATAGTGATACGGAACTAATATTTTGCGCGTGCAGTATGAATATAACGTACCTATCTTCCTTAAAATATCATTAAGCATATCTTTAGTTCAAATCATATCACCAAACGTACTATTGGGGCGAAGCTCAAGCTGGCCGAAACAATGCGACCACGCCTTAAACTGTACCGTACAATAACTATGCGTCATGTGAATGTAACTTTCCGTGTTCAACATCGATAATATTACGGAAAAGACGTCATATATGACACTGTCACGATATGTACGCAACTACATATTACGCTAGTTTTTTATTTTTTTTGGGACAAAAACAGTTTTACATTGCAGTCTTTATAAGTAATTTAGAATCAACACTATTGTCCGTGGACAAACTAAAACCTAAACTAAACTAAACCTAAAACCTCGTGAGGTTAAAGCTGGAGCAGCAAAGGCAGCAAACGCACTATACAAAATCGCTGCGTTATATGTTATAATAAAAGATATATAGTTAATTAAAAAATGTCATCATTAATCAGAAAGAATATCAGAAGTAATTTTTTAAAATTTAGAGTGAGTGAGAGCGAAAATATCCAAGTTCGTAAAATGTGAGTTGTACTTTATCAATAATCGCCGAAGAGGTGCACGCTCTCCAGCATTAGTTCTACACTTTTCCGTATAGAATAATCGAGGTACACACCTCGAGGTACGTACCTCCCTTCGAATAACAGTCCTGGGTACTACATAACATAGCCTGCTTGATAATTCCGTACAATTATACTTGTTGTTGCATATGTCGTACAACATCATTAACATATTTCAGAAGATCAACATAATGAATCCTAGAATAAAAACATTTGTAATAGGTAGTACGAAGATTTTTTTTCTGTACCAATTCTATCCTCTGCTTATATTTCTTATAAAAGGGACTCCAAATAGGTACAGCATACTCTAACGCGTAGTAATCTTTAAGCTTTTCCTTTCTCTTACAATGATAAAGGAAAAATATAACACCAAAAGGTTCTGTTGTTATAATCAAATACAGTATCATAACGAACTTGTTCTCATATTATTTAAGATAATGACCTAATGGGATTTTTGTGGGAGATACATACTTCGGCACAAATCTCGGCTGTACCGAATTGATACCACGATCTCACAGAAAATCGATTTTAACGGTTGCTTTACGTATCCTTGCTTTTCATCGAGTAAGTGAGGTTACAGAGATTCCCCCCCTGTACCTTTACCCCCTCTCCCTATTAATAAGTTTAATAAGATATAAATATTTATTTTATGGAAAATAAAATGTCCGGGAGCTCATTCCAATAGTGCTGCTTAAGCACTTAGGCAGCCGTTACTTATAAATACCAGTTACTAAACAACATCATCATCAACGACAGCCTTTATGAGTCACTGAACATAGGCCTCTCCTTAGAAAGGAGGTTTTGGCCGAATATACGTAATACGCTGGCCAAATTTATAAACATACTAGCAATTAATGAAAATTCGAAATTTTATTCATTTACAAAACAAACATTGTGTTTCATCATATATAAGGTCATAGGTTCATTATATAATCACGGTTATGTCATCACCTTAGGTCTTTCGAAGTAAGCCAAAACCAAATTAAGGGGTTACCTAATGTTTACATATTTTTAACTCACTGGGAAAACTTCGTCTTAATGCGACGTTTAGAGCCATCTATCAGAAGTCATAAGAATTACGGAACAGTGTCCTATTTACATAGTCGTTCAGTCGTACATTTATCTCTTGACGTACTTTGTCGGTTTTGTCCAACTGGGTCTGTACTATAAAAACTGTATTTTTTATTTGTTTAAAATTAAAATAACACAAAAATTAAACCACGAAAAAATTAACCTAGCCACGAAATTGAAACCTTCAAATGGATGGTAGGTTCCCACAAAAGGCCTTTAATTACTCTTTCACCAATTGACGCACACTGAAAGCTAAAAATACATGTTCAAGGTTGTTTAAGACTGTTGTTTAGGAAGAAGTAGGAAATAAATATACATTATCTCAGTATTTTCGACGAAAACCATAACATACGAAACACAGGATTCTTTTTAAAAAGGAGGAAATACTTTAAACCTAACCTCCTTGATGACAGTTATATATTTTTAAAGACGGACAGATAAAAGTCTTGACGGAATATTAGTTATACATTTTGTAACTTATCTGTATTTAAATGTGATTGTTTCTATTTAAAATTCTGATTGAATTATATTACATTAATCTTATTTTTTTTATTAACAATTGTCTTACAAAAGCTTTTCAAAGATTAAGTCTCAGACAGGACGGAGCAGTAGAGAGTGCTACTAGTTTTAAGCCTGGTGATGTAGTACTGATAGACGGTTTTGTTACACTTACTTGAAAGTTAATAGTAGACGTGACAATCTTCATGGACTCGGCATAGTTCCGGAGAACGGAGTCGGTACTAAGGCAGTTCTGCCGCCATTCGTACAGTTGTTCCAACCTCGTCACGCAACGCTCGCAGATCTTCTTCGGCAGGAAGTCGTCCTTCGATATCTGCTGAATAAAATTGAAAAGTTCATTAGACATCCTTTAGCAGAAAGTTTCAACATTAAGTGAAGGGTTGAAATATTATTGGAAGCTTCTACTACTATATGTTACAAAGCTTAGCCATTGATCTAGGGAGGTCTTATGTAGCATTTCAATGCTTTCGTGTGCGCCATGGTTTAAAAAAATGAGATTTTTTTAAACCATTGCGTTCCATACAATGTAATTAAGTTAATTCCTGTAGAATTAATTACCTAAACTTAATGCGTTAATTCTCGTAAACATAATTATATCTCAACAATATATTCTTATAAATTATTTCTCACATTGATTTTGATTTAAACAATATCATTCAAGAGAATACCAAAATATTTATTTCATACTGCTTCTTTAACGTATCATTCGCTGAGCCGTAAACACGCTTATTTTGTGGTGTGTTCAATCCAACTTTACTAGTACCTTTATTTTTACTCATAAAAAAAGAGATAGTCAAGGATTTTATTTGTCAAGTGGCGTTCCCATCCCTATTTGCAATCTACGAATCCCATTGCCTGATCACGCATGAACAAGGGATTTGCGTTAATCCCGCACGGTGACCTACTTCAGACCAAGTCCGCGTGTGTCTTGCGGGGGTCAATGATCTGTACTTTCCTATAACCGCGAATACGTTTTTAACTAAATAATCGATAGACTTAATATTCAAAAAGCACAGATTGATTGCAGAAATAATAATTTTGCTAAGTACGGTACAATCCTGTATCGATTAAAAATTTAGGAGGTTTGACCACGTTATGTGAATAGTAATAAAATATAATAATTTCGCTAAGTATGGTATAATCCTGTATCGATTGAAGATTTAGGTGTTTTGACGACGTTGAGTTTTTGTGGCCATATTTAACTTGTTATTGTGGCCCTGATATGACTGTTTGGTCAAACTTAAAGATGTTCTGTTAAACTTAAAAGGTAAAGATTATAATCAATTTATTTTGCCCTAGATTATATTTTAGTTTAATTTATTCTTAATTAAATCATAAGTAATTTTACTTCATAATATTGGTAACGTTCGTCACTAAAATTTTATTAATTTAAAATATTACGTTTCGTCATCGTGTGCAAAATAGTATCAGTTGATTAAACCACTTTTTTAAAGAGAATGGGATTAAATCTTTAAAAAAAAAACTCAACAGGTATTGGTAATATTTCATTATTTTTTGTTGTGGCCGTAGCTGCGTCGTATCGCGCAGGCGTTTACGAAAGCTACGAGCGCCTGCTACGTAGCGGTATTATTGCACTTCTATGAACCACCACCTTATGTTTACGTTACACACAACCTAACACTCACTATGCACTTTTAGAACACATTTATATTTATTAGGTGTAAATCAGGGAAGACACAAACTATGGCAGATGGCAGAAATGTCAAGGACAAAGGTCCGATCAAGTACAAAGGAATGACTCACCATAGTCGGCAGGCAGGTCCTGAGTTTGAACAGGATCTGCCGTTGCTCCGACTCTTTATCGAAGATGTGGAGCCTGGGACCGCTCTTCAGGGAGCACAACCGACACAGGTCGGTGAACGCCGTGAAGTTGAGGTCCTCGGGCTCGGTCATGGCGAAGCACCTGATGAGGAGGTCAAGGAGGCAAGAGTTGTCCATGTATACGGCGGTGGTTCTCGGGTGGCGGGAGACAGGGTCAACGCCGCGGCATGTCGCGGGTGCAGGCACGGGGAGGCGTCGCGCCGCCGCTGCGTCCGGGGGGCACTGGGGCCGGCGGCGCGCGCCACCCGACGCCCCTCGACTCCCCCCAGCCCCCGCGCACGCAGCCCCCGCTGTCCCAGCCCTCCCCGCCCGAGGGGTGGCTCACGGAAAACGCTAGTTTTCCCACTTAACGGTGTCTGAGACCGGAGCTTGTTTATTCATATGCAATTGATTTTATTGTTTGTTCCATGTAATGTCTAGATGGCTATGTGACTTTGGACAAAAAAGTAACTCATTTTGTTTGTGGTCTATTACATTACATGACATCTCGACAGATTATATCGCCTTTTATCGATTTTTTTTATAATTTTTCCAATTTTGAAGTAGATCTAGTAAGATAAAACACATAAGTCTAGGAGGTATCTAAAATGAAAATTTAGCTATTGTAATCAAATTTAGACTTCATAAATAGATCACTAAATCATATTGATTTTTAATATTAATTAAAGAGTTTTGTAACAACAGAAGACGAAACAACACAATGTATACAAACTACAATGAATTAAATTTACTATCGTAAAATATCCACCGCCAGGCAAAAATTACAAAAAATATTTTACTCATCAAATCGCTATCGAAATAAAACGATTGGTCTTAATTCAATGGCTTGAGAACCAGATTTTTTTTTTATAATGTGTAAATTTTACTATTATTAGAGATTTGAATAACTTGTTTTATTTCATTGACCAGTATAAATTGAACAAGATTGTATAGACTCTTTAACCACGACATATTGACATATTTACCTGACGCTTGTAATTTTATGTAGCAGTTTTGACATAATTATTAACATTATTTCGCATATTATATAAGAATTGTAGCTTACTGATTAGCTGTCACATTCAAATATAAAGTACTCCAAATATATTATTCTATCGTAACGCACTATTTGTTTAAAAAGCGGTAAAAAAAAATCTTCACATCTAGCTGCTTAAGTTACAAACTCAATCCCTCTCTTGAATGTGGAAGTAATACACCTACATATAACCTACTTACAGCCTCTTTTTCTATCCGACATTTTAATCTAATCACCAATAGCTAACCATATTTAATATTTTTTGAAAAAAGTGAAGTCTAGGGTTGATTTTCTATGCTATTAAGGTAAGGCTTAACGAGTTATTGAGTGAAGACCTCGTCTCGGCAAACGCAGTGTAGGACGCTCACAGACCTGGTGGAATGACGATGTACGAAAGATGGCTGGCAGGAGCTGGATGCGAGAAGTCCAAAAGCGATCTAAGTGGATTGAGATAGGCTGATGATGATGATGAAGGTAAAGCCCCATCAACAACCAACCCTTAAAAAAACAACAAGCAAACGCACATAAATAATCGCATTTGTTCGTTGCTTTTCATGGAGTGAGTCGGGATATAGGAAGCTCTACACCCCCTCCCGCTTACTTACACGCCAGCAAGGCAGCAACGCACTCGTGCCTTTGAGTTGCAGGTGTCAATGGACGGTGGTAGGCACTTATCATCAGGTATCCTGCCAGCTCAGTTGGCCTATTTAAATAGGTATATATATATACAACTAACTAACTAATATATATAGGCGGCGGTAGGTCGTCAAAAGATGCTTTACTAGTGAGCTCATATAAACAGACCGGTAAACTATATTTATATGTTGACAGTTGTTGAATATAGATCTTGGCGTTTGTAGAATATAAAATTCATCATCATCAACGGCCTTCACTTATCCACTGGACTTAGAAAGGAGGTTGTGGCCTACTATACCACGCTGGACTGACGGGTTGGTATAGGGATTTTGTCAAGATTTCCTTAAAAAAAAAACAAATAATAAATTACAAGAACAGAGCATAAATAGTCCAGATAAAATCGAACACTGTATTAGAAAACTTCAAACCGTTTAATATTTGTCTTATTCTTAATACTGCCTTTACGGTATTTAATTGGTACAGTGATTTGCGTAAATAAAAATCATATGAGCATAGAGGTTAATTGGACTTTTAATGATTAAAAAAGTTATTACATGTCACTTCTATGTCATTATTTAATAACATTTTAAACTGATATTTCTATATAAACAAAGCATGTCTTCATCAAGTTCAGATGCAGAATTCCAGGGATACTCTGAAAGAACCTTGGCTATCATCAAACCGGAGGCCTACGAGGATGCAGAGGCTATTTTGGATGCGATAATAGACAATGGGTTTGTAATTCTCGCGGTTAGTACCGTCGTTAATAAATGTTAGAAAACACAAGTTTTATTTGGTAATTGTTTGTAAGAAGATACGAAGTAGTAAACAGGAAAAGCAAGAAATAAAACCACTTTCTTTCTATTATAAGAAAAATAAATCTAATAATAATATGGTAAAAGCTTGGTATTGTTGGTGAGCTCCGATTTCCGCATTCAGACTCAAGAATGGCCTTTATGCGTCGCGGAAATGTTAGCCACGTTAGCCAACCAAGCTGCTTCCAGAAGCGCAGAAGCATTCTGGGGCGTACACAGGCTTCTAGGAGCGATTTTGTAGGATAGTAAAAGCTTAGTAAGCAAAAGTAACCTGTGTGTCAGCATTCTCAGTTAACGTCTGAACAACTAGACTACTTTTAACGATTGTTAGTCTTTATTGAAATAGTCGAGAACTTGAAGACTTGAATACTTTTGTCGCGAAAATAAAAGTTAAAATATTAGTAAAATATGTGAGATGCTGCTCAAATAAAGTAAGGTACCAGCTAGCACCGTAGAACACGGGTAGTCATGTACCACCAGATGAACCGTCTGCTTGATTGACCCTATACCAAAAAAAAGGCGGCGCTAGAAATACATAGTACATGTCTCGGTGTTGCAGTGGTAGCGACTGCTGTGCTGAGATCTCGGGTTCGATTCCCGAGTCGGACCAAATGATTGTATGATCTGTAAATATTTATTTCGGAGTTTGGGTGTTTTCTATGTATAAAATGTATATATTTACAAAAAAGTATATAAGTATTCTATCAGTCAATCTAGATTTCATAAAACAAGTTCTGCTTAGTTTAAAACAAGATGGCGTTGTGTTTCAGATGTCCAAAATATTATTATTATTTAAGTACTGTTTTTTTAAAGCCACGTTCTAACCCAAATTCCAAATTACTTATGATCTTTTAATTTCATGCTTTGTACTGTTTGTGTATATACATTATTTTAAAGGATTAGCTATATTGGGGCAGATGCACACAGCTTACAACGCTTATAACGCTACAACGCAGCAAGAAGTCATTGCCAACCGTGCAACTTAACCTGTTACAATGAAATTGTCAAGATGTCACCTGTACGGCTAATCCTATCTCAATGTAGCAATGCATTATAAAAGGGTTAAATAAAATGAAACATCAAAACGGTTCTGTAGGAAATAATTAGTTTCGACGACAATTATTTTCTTACTTTTAATTATTTATGGGGATTTATCATTTAAGATTTTCTAAATATACGAGTATATGCAAAGAGACTTGTAAACATTAACGAACAATTCATTTTAACAATCTAAACCGCCTGTGTCTCGTTTCGAGATATCAGTGTGCTGTTGTCGATCAGTAGGGTCACCACACTTTAATTAAAACAGGTAGACAATACAGTTAGGTACCTGCGAGTAGTACTGATCAGTAGTGGCGGATCTAGAGGGCTAAGGAACTCAAGGACCCCCCAAAACCACCTCAGTCCTCCCATGAGAAATCTTAAATTGAATTTGGTAATACGTATATTAATTTTTTTAGCATGTTTTACACTACCTTAAGTACAAATTTCTTTATTAATTATCTCTCTCTCTCTCTATATATATATATATATATATGTATATAGAAATTTGTAACAATAGAATATATATATATAAATGTTAAGTTAGTTTGGGTATGCTTCAAAACCTCAAAAGTTCTACTCCGATTTAGTTTAAATTTTGATATATATACTCGCTTCAAAAAAGATTATTTCTAGGTATTTTTTGTGTCAGTTTTGATTCTCATTCGTCATAAATGCAACCAGCCAACCAGGGTACAGCTAGTCCTTAATAACTATTAAGGAGTATTGAGTTAATACAATTTCGAGTAAAGCAGCTCCAACTGCTAGCGCCTTACATGCATTGTGCAGCGCATAAACTAAACCTAGCTATCACGAGGGCATGCAGTTGATGCGCTCCTTCAATTTAAAGAGGTCTTTGGCTCTATAGTAGAGTTCATTGAAGATATAGACAGAACTTCTCAATAATTCTGGCTTCGTCTTACCTTTGACGGTACCGCCACTGTATTTGAAATTGCTGTTTCACTCACGGCAACTTCAAGCTGTTACATTAGAGACATTTACATGCATGATATAGTAGAAAATGTAATATGAACACTGGAAAGGCACACAGAATCTAAATATGAAGCAATTTTTCAAGAGGCGTGTTGTATTTTAGAACCTTTGGACGTCTTAGTGCAGGTCATCCAGCGCATACATCCCAGAACTACCAAACGTTGAACTCATCGCTTAAATATACGTGGGGCATACTGAAAGTCTCTGGATTTTGCCACTTACAATAAAAGAATGGAAAAACAATTAAGGAATTTCGAAAATGGAACTTTAGGAATATGTTACTTTTTAATTTGCGAGACTGTCATTTGTTTTTTCACTGTGACGTCAAATGAATTTACTCATGAACATTTTCGTTTAATGATTGTTTTACGATTTTCACTGTGTCATTTAACTCGTGAACATTTTTTTTCATTGTGGCAAGTCACCAAGAGAGTTGACAGAGACTTCAATTGGCATTTGGTGATGAAGCACCATGTCGCAGCTCTGTGTATTCGTGGTTTAGAGAATTTAGAACGTAGACGTGATCATCTCCATGCCGAGGCAGGTCGGCACATACCGTACGAAAACTTATTGAAACTGACTGCACGGATACCGAATGACTTTACGGAGGACCATAATGGTGCCGTAAAATGAAATAAAAGTTTAACGGAGAACAGTCATTGGCTGTCTATAATACCTTTGGAAGATAGGCCTTACCTTTGAAAGATTTACCGACGAAAGTTAAGAAAAGTCGAAGCATTGGTAAAAAAATGGTTGCTTCTTTGTTCAGTAAATCAGGACATTACACAGTATCCCTTTGCTTGCACATTCCGCTAAGGTAACAAAAGCCTATTTGATGGCTTCAAATGTAGAATTGATGACAGATCCGCCTTATAGCCTGGACCTCGCACCCTGCTACTTCTTTTTGTTTCCAAAAGTTAAAGACAAACTTAGAGACACGTTTTATGAGCCCTGAATGCGTTCCATGAAGCCATTAATTGCAAAAATGCATAAATTGCGAGGGAATATACTTAGAAAGACAATAAATTTATCGTAAGTCATATCTAGTCTTATTTATTAGAATCCAGAAACTTTCAGTAAGTGTAATGTTACAGGTAAAAAAAGCTCTAATACCTACACACGCTTTTATTTGATGTAACACACCCTTCGCTGTTATGTTATTTCGTGCTCGAAGCTAATGTCATATCGTATTTTGTCAAATGTATTCCTTCTGTTCATCGACTTAGTGTTGAGACAGTTGATAAGTCACTTTTCGAGAGCAGAGCACACTTCAATTCTTGATCTGTACAGCCTATTACCAAGTTCCATCGTAAAAACAGAAAATCTGACCTCAGTAGTGTAGCTACACGCATTTACAATGACGATTTTCCTAATCCTCTCTCGTTATCGGGCGAATTAACTTTTGGAAGAAGCTTTGGAGTGACTGAGAACATCTCCCCCAAACAGCAGCAGAGGCCCATCAAGAGACAAATGAGTTTTTTCCAAATATAAAAATTATTTTATAAATCCTCGCTACATTACCAGTACCCACTTGTAGTGTGGAGCGCAGGTTATCTTCGCTTAAACTAATAAAATTATACCTTCGTACGACAATAACCAAATTCAGGTTAAACGGTTTGGCTGCCATGTATATTCACCGAGATATGTCCTACAACCTAGCGAAGTCATTGAAGATTTGAAGATCCGAAGAGACTGGTTATGCGTTAAGCAAAATAAAATTTTGTATGCTTCTTTAGTGGTTTTTCCTTGATAACCTACCCTCACCAGGGTCAAGCCTCTCCCAAATCAAAATCTTAAATCCGTCACTGTCTTACAGGTGTGTTTAGAAACCGGTAACAGGTTAATATGCTCGTCAAAAAGTAATAAGTCGCTTTCATTGCGACATTACTTTTCCATTAATATACTAAAGTAATAATACTAAAGTACTAATATAATAAAGATACTATATGTGTTAATGTTAGTGTAACATAATTTATGTAAATTGTATTAGCGATTGGAAGCTGTGTTGTGTTGTGGATATTAAATCCCTCTGTATGAAACTGTGATATTAATGACGCATAAAGTACAGATGATGCATACCACGCATGTGTGACTGATACATAACTCCCATCCTAACTGCAACAGTTTCGGTGACCCTCGCACAACTTGTATTATGCCTATAGTCTTTGCTATAGGCGTAAAGTACATGACATTGTATATTATTGACGGATGTATATATACCATACACTCGGTCATATTCAGCCAAGAACTACGATAACAAATCGCAGCGAGACCCTTACGTATAGAAATTTAACACAAAGCAAGTTGCACGGGTAAACGTAAAGCTAATTTTTAAGCGACTTCTGAAAAAGAAGTTCTATTGTGGATTGTACATCCTTTTTAATGATATTCACCGATATTTTGGTTATCTATTTTTTAATTTCTTGTATTGTATTTCTCGTATAAAAATATAAATATATGAATAGAATTGCTAGATCAACAGATTTACGATATCATATTATGTATCGATGATATCGTATTATATTCATATCAGAACAAGAAATGTTTTGTTTAGAATTATCTACTGACTTCGAAGCATTTCCACATATTCCAGTGCATAACTTAAATCCTTAGGAACGTACAATTTTCTCGCGATTAAAATAACCCAGAACATCCCAGGCTCACAACAGTTTTTGAACATGGTCAGAGCGCAAAATGTTACTGATCCACATTTTTGAAACAATAGTCAAGGGTTGTTCAAGTCAAACAACATCCGTCAACTCAGAACCTAACGTATTTAATAGATATTCATTCGGACAGTCGCTCTTCATAAAACATTATCAAAAATATTTTTATCAATGTTGCGCGTAGTGACCACCCCTGACCAATCGCAAGGGCTGTCGCGTGCCGCAAGCGAAAGCAAGGGTTGTGATATGCAAAACTCATATCGGTGACGACGAGAGGGGCGCTCTCATTATTTCGCGTCACATGCAACCCTTGTAGATTAGGGTTGTCGACTTTATTTCTGTAGGAATAATAGTTTTAATCAATTTGTGGCAAAATAGATGTAATTTAATATTTGACTAAAACGAAAAACTAGTATACACTTATGTCCACTGATAATCAGAAGTCATTGTAACCTGTATAACTTGGGACCACTAAGGAACCACGCTTATAATGTTACCGACATTTAAACCTAATGTTAATGTTATGTTTAGATCCTTATTTAAGTCATTTATATTACTTTTGAAAAAAATATTCTTAAACTTAAAAACTTGTTTTTCTTTAGAAAAATAAATGAAAAGGATAAATTATATTATGTCAAAAGTTACAATAATTGTGACCAATTACAAATGCTGTGCACGGATGGCGTAGGGGTTTAGGCGGTCGTCACGCCGCTTCCTACAATGCTAAGTGTTGTGAGTTTGATCCCCACATGGGACGACACTCTGTGTGATCTACAAATTGTTGTTCTGAGTCTGGGTATTCCTTGTGTTTGTTTTATGTATGTTTGTAAACTACCCCGCGATACGGGATATATTCCAAATACTGGATTTATCTTTTATAAAACTACAAACTACAAATGCGAACGTGAGTTTGTTTGTTACGCTTTTACGTCAAAACCACTCAACCGATTGTCATAAATGTTATATACTCATAAGGATGTATAGAAGGACATAGATCTCCTTTTATTCCGTTAAAGTGATTTGTTTAGTAAAATAAATAAATAGGTGTTATACGTTAAAAATGTTATTGCAATAAATTCAGGTTAACACATCTAAAACGAATTTTACCATATGCCATTCATTACGTTTGTTTGGACAACCCTAAGTGAGTAGCAAATCTTCAAAGCCCTTCTCGACTATGCGAGCGACGGTCACTGCTGTTATCTATTGAAACCATAGAAAAAAACTAATTACGTCTCCCTATTGACGTTTGGAGGGGACTCTCCTTGCTTTTGCATATGATCGTTATTGTTTTGATAGGATATGAGAATACTTTTTGTAGGTATTTGTTGCGATAGAGAATTTGAGATTCTTATATTAAAAATATTTTAGGCGTTTTTTTTATGTCGATTCTTTTATCGATGTAGTTACTTTTTATCGATGGCAAGATACTTTTTTTTTTTTTTTTTTTTTTTTCATTAATTTGGGCACAAACAGTCATTTAAAACAAAAATTACACAATAAATATACATAGGGTGATAGACAACGAGTGCCGAAATCAGTTTTTTGTAATAATTAAAGTCTATGTGTTGACTTAGAAAGCTGCATGAGTCACAGATGTTACAGAGTAAAGTACTTATATTAATACTATGCAAGCTTTTACATATCATATTGTGTAAGACAAAACATATCAAATAAAGAAAAATAAAAACATGAAAAGAACAAGAAACAAGGGCGGACACCATATCATAACAATTGTGTCCAGGAATATAATGCAGGCTACGTAATACGCAGCATACATATGTTTAAGTTTTTTACCTATTGACACAGATTTTTAAACAACATTAGCTTAAACTTTTGCAATGAGTTACTAAATAAATCTATATCAGAGAAGTTCTTATTGTAATTATTGGGGCATCGTTTTTCTTTTCTGTTAGTATTATTGCGTGAAAATGTGTAGGTAGATATAAATGTTTGTATTTTTAATCTATGTCATATAGGAGGAGGTACTGAATTCGATTATGTTTTTTTGTATGTTACGTAACAATTTCACCATAAGTGAACCGATTACAATGTTTGTTTGTTGGTTTATTAAAGGTTATGTATAATAGATTTAAGAGCATTAAAGGCGATTATATTTTTATAAAGCTTGTTAATTAATCCCATAGTTATGAACAAACAAGTGTCCTTGTAGGTATTATTAACTAGGCATTCATAAGTACTTACATCATATCTGTATATACCTACATATTATGCATGTAGTGTCACATTTTGTGTTGGTATTACTTAGCTTAGATTTTTAATTAAAGTTATGTAAGTTCGAGTAACATGTGATGCGAGTAATTTACAAGCTGAATTTTTACATTAACACTTTTAACAAGATATTAAAAGTAGTTTTGTGCTCACCCTTCCGAGACAATAACAGTTTATTTTTTCTATTCACTTACATATTATCTTTCTTAGTTACACATAGATACCTGCACTTAAACATTTAATTAAGAAATCAGAAAACAATGCCTTATTCCAAAAAAAAACTGAAGTTTTATATGAACACTTTTAACAAAATATTAAAAGTGGTTTTGTGCTTACATTTCCGAGACAATAGCAGGTGAATTTTTCTATTCACTTACATATATTTCTTAGTTGTACATACACAACCTACACTTAAACATTTAATTAAGAAATCAGAAATCAAGCCTAATTCCAAAAACAAGCCATTAATAACTGCAGATAAAGCGGTTCAAAGCTTCAAGATACAACTTTACTGTCGAACTCATTTAATATGCACGATGTAGTTTTGTGCTTCGATTTTCTCTAGCTACGTGCTTTATCTCCCCTCATGACATTTGATGAACCCCTTGATCAAACTCTGTAGATTTTAAAACTAGATTTATGTACTGAATAAAAAGGCAACTAAAGATCCATAAATTATGGATAGGTCATGATTAGAATAACATACATAGCGCAACAATTTTTATAATTCAGATTCATCATGGTTTCTCTTTTTAGGTAATGTGTTCTCGTACATATTCGTAGGTAGGTATTGTATTTGTTTGGACCTCGGCGATAAAAACAATAAAGCTACTACTAAAAACTTTCTATCGTTAATAAAAAAACAAAATTACCTGAAAATAGAAAACTTTGTAACAACTTCTTTCCGGGCGACACAGCGCTGCCCAAACTTCACCGAGCGGTTATATTAGGCGTAATGTACTAATTATAATAATTTAACGGTATTTGATAATTGAACTTAATTTATCTGTGCAGAAGCGCCATGTTCGCATGTCACCTGAGCAGGCAGCAGAGCTCTACAAAGGGCACTACGGCAGTCATCATTTCCCTCACCTCGTAGCGCACATGTCCAGTGGACCGTGCATTGCAATGGTGCTTGCTGCTACGAATTGCATACAAAAGTGGAACACGCTCATGGGACCAGCACGGTACACACATATTCATACTTCATACCGCTAACATCCCTCCACCGAGTTCAAGTTCAAGTACCTAAGTTATTGTAAACGGGATAATTACCGTGTTTATATTCGGGAATTAATTTCTGATATTTCGGCACTGTTGCAAGCACCATTATCACGGATCAGTTTGTCCGTGTCATCAGTAACAAGGAACACGGTTGTTTAAATCAATACAATGTATAAATATGTTGGACTCGAACCTAGTAAACCAAACGGTGGTCCGTCATGGAATTCTAATGTCAGGAACTCAATGCACCTCAGAAATGTAATTCCTGATGGCCTGTCCTGTGTTGAAGGTTGCCATGTCACCTCTCCAACCTTCCATAAACTTCTGGGTAATGTTGCGCTCCGTTGCTAAAGTCCTTAAACACAACCAAAAGTAACTCCTAGAGAGTTAAGATCGCAAAGACTAGACTTTAACTACTTAGATAAATAATGATCGTACCTAACATCGAAAAGAGGATTTGTATTTATTCCATGCGTTTAGAAATTAGACGAAGAAAAGCTTACCTAGAATTCAGTTTAACATGGTTCTTATTTTTAGAGTATTGGAGGCGCAAGCCTATTGGCCGGACAGTCTTCGTGCTTCCTATGGACGGCGTACAAAATATGGAGATTACTTCAACGGGCTACATGGCAGTAAAAATCATGCCGAGTCTGTTAGAGAAATACACTTCTTTTTCCCTGATAGTATGTACCTGGTTTAATCTATCGTTGTAAAAACATGTTTATCAATGTTATTCCTGTCTAAATAATTTTAAGTCCGATCTACCGGATTGAGAAAATTTTGAGCCAACAGAACGGGCGGTTTTTTTATTCTTTCTTTTTGAAAATACCACTCCCGCACTAGAGATATATCCTGTGTCGCGGGGATTTAACAAACATACGAGTACACGAAACGGAAAAAGGGTTTAAAAAAGGTTTATTGTTTGCTGAACCAAAATGGTTAAATCTGATAACAAGCGAAACAGTTTTCATATATGTAAATGCTTTTTTTTACAAATAAATTACCCTGCCCTTAATCAGCGTATTCCAAAAAAATCATCTATCAAACATTATTAAATAAAAATATATTTTGTCTACAGTGATAGTAGGACCGCTGCTGCGCCACTGGCAAGTAAAAGACTACATACAGAAATACATTACACCAACTTTGCTGCCAGCAGTGACTGCTTTGGCACATGAACGACCCGCAGAGCCCATACTATGGTTGGCAGAACATTTGAGGAGACACAACCCGAATGAGCCCGAACTCGCACCTCAACCACCAGAGCAAAGGGAAGAAGCCCGATGTCACACGCCAGAGCCCTCCGAACAGTCGGTCCCATTCACCAAAATCAAATGATTTTTTGAGTCGACCAAATGTATAATCAGGAAGGATTCCGTATAAAAATAAATAAAGTAAATTTACTAGCGAAAGTCGTAAAGCTGGGAATTTTACTCCGCGAACTTATTTCATAGCAAAACGGTTTTGTTATGCCTATCTGAGATTAGTAATTTCATATTTACAAAGAACATTATTATAAGAGGCACCACGAGACATACCCGATTTACACCTTAATACGGAATACGGTGAAGAATACAATCGTTACGTAGTTCCAGTGGTTTTAGTGGCAGGCTGAATTCACCTTATTAAAGCTATCACTGTGTAGTTTAGTCAGACCACGTTTCAGAGGGAAAGAAATAAAATGCCAAAAGAAACCAACTACGAAGACGCATTATATTTTCATTAAAACAATATATTTCATATATAATTACAATACACTTCTCGTAATGGGCACTTTACAGTATGTATTTAACTTATTTCACTATTATTACTACATTGTTTCACTAGGCAGATAATTATTATTTTTGGCATTAATGCAGCAATCGTCACTAAAGATGATGATGATGATGATGAGACGAAAATAAGCTTTAGTTAGTAGCAATAGTATGGGAGTCATAGAAGGGATTTTGGGATTTACTTTCTGCCGGGAGCGCGGCAGAGTAACATAAGGAGGAATAGCTTACATCCAGTTAGTAAAACAGTGCAAGAAACCTTTAAATGTCTTCATAATTTTTCGTGCCTTTATTTGTCACATTTTATAATTGTATAAAAAAAAAAATCTTGATTTTTTCCGTCGTCGACTTGACCATCAGATTTGAACAACACGCTCGGGTATTTCGAAATGGCGATTCTTCTAATTTGCAGTTTGCATTTTCAAAAATTAACTACAAGCTTGTGTCGCTTCAAAATCGTCAACCTTTTAATGACAGCATTTTTGGCGTCTAAATAACATGTCACCAAATTATCCTCGAATATTTTTTTCGATTTTCTCCCCTCACATTTTTGAAAACCTGTAGCTTTTCCCACCGCTGATAGTGGAAACATTATTTACCTTTTATTCATTCTATTACCTAATCTTTCAAATGCAATAGTCCCCATGACACTCTAGTAAATCCCCTTCTGGCGCCAGGCTAATAGACTATACTCTCTAATACCTAATAAGGGGGTAATCTGTGTGTAGACATGAAGTACCTACACTTATAGTAGAAATTAAGGAGTTGACCATCAAGTCATCTCCTTTCAAATTAAACGTCAAAACAGTTTGTTCTCTAGAAAGTAAGAAGTAATGAGCTATAACGTCATATGTAGGTAACTATTGTTGAATTACTTTATTTGGTTAAACACTTAAAAATATTAAGAACGTTGTTTTTCACAGTCATATATTTCATATTTCATGAGGACTTCTAACGACGGCGACGTAGACCCTTTTTCACTTTAATGAATAATAACAGTTTTCATTTTACACGCTTTTTATTAGCTTCACCTGTATGTTTGTTTGTATGTTTGTAACCGACTATTTTGGGTGCGATTTTGTCCCAATTTAAACGGCCAGATTTCGGTCAAACTTTGTAGATTTATCGAGGACCGATGACAATACACTACTTAATTTTAAAAAAAAATAGTTTAAAAAAAAACACGCTTTTTATAGAAAACCAAACTAAAAAAAGCGTGCGGTGCTTTTTACTATTGACAACAGGCACACAACGCTTTTTTTCAAAATTATTAAAATTTATTTTCTATTTTTTAGTTTGGTTTTCTATAAAAAGCGTGTTTTTTAAAACTATTTTTTTTTTCAACAAAATACTGCTCTGCCGTGTGCAAAATTAAAAATCAAAATACAATACAAAGTATACAAAACAACACGCTCGCAGGCGGCAGCACAATCAGCTGTAAACGAAACTTTAACAATCAGTCGGCCGAATAGTCGGCCTTTTTGCAACCAACTCATTCGGCTAAAGTTATAGTGGACACATCTCTAATAATAATACTTAAGCAAACTTACCTCCTTGTAATACATATACATTAATATATCAATTCCTGACTCATTATATTTAAATACATAAGTAACAATACTTACGGGGTTACAAACATTTAAAGAAATGGCTATAAAATTTGAACAGGTAATTAACATCTAGCTTTAGATAGCTAAGCAATGGTTTATTAAACATATTATATCGAAAATGGCTATAGTAGTCACAAACATCCTCTTCAATTTCATTCGAAAATAAAGTCAGTGTTACATTACAAAAGAACAACACTACAAAAGAATATAGCGTTTTACAAGCGAACGTTATTATTTTTTAATTAGCAGACTAATATATACTCCGGAGCAAACAGACTGTAACTACAGGATAAATTTACTTTAAAAAAAAGCATTTCGTTTTGCTATATTTTACATTAACTTGCGTGTAAAAACACGTCCACTTGACTAATTTGGCTTAGGACAATAAGGAACAACATTAACAAGATACTTAATGCATTCATTAAATGTGTGGCAATAGTCAATGAACTGCTTATTATTAGTTTTATAGACCTAAAACGGTTTGCTTTATTTTAATTATGTTAATGCAAAAAGAAGACAAAAATATATAAAGATATTAACCCGCTAGCTATTACCGCCATTTGCTATATTGTCTTCCTTCTCTGCCATCCTGTTTTTCAAAGACCTAATTAATGTTTTGATAAATACTTACGGCACTATTTCGCCACTCCTCTGAAATGAATTATATTGATTTTACTATTAATTTTAGTGCACGAAGTTTATTTTAGGACCTCCTTAAATAACACTGCGTCAAATTCATAAAACACACATTTCTTTTCCCAGCTTTATTTATAGAAACAGTTTACAAATACAAATGACCTATCACAGGCTAGCGCATGTTGGCTACGATAACGTTGCTACATCAGAATAATAGCGTACTACTGGTTACTTTATTTCATCTCGATGGTTATAAATCGATAAGAAAACGGGTTTAACTTACAAACGAAATGTTTGATGTTACTTTAAAAACATCATTTGCTTTAAAACGCCATTTAGATACGTCCGTTTAGTTCGTTGTTTCTCTAGTACAATCTTAAGTTGGGTAAATATTACGTAAACCTCAAATCTAAATAACATCACAAAGCAAATATTCGGCACAGAGTTGATTTTACAATCCTCGATGTTTTCACACAGAATCAGTATTATGTATGTTTTTAAATTAAAAAAAAAAAAATCAATTTACAGCAATTAAAGCGTCACGCTCCTTAATTTCATTATTTCTTTACGATTAAAAAACAACTCTATGAAATATTAAAAATATTGTGACTATGTATTTATCGAATAAGTACACTTCTTCGCGTCAATTATGGCTACAAAAATATTTAATAATTTTTCTTTTTTTAATATTTTTTTTCATAATATGCCAACGCCGCTTATTTCTTTTCGCAATTGACTACAGCTCAAACTTCACAACTAATCATAGTCACAATATCATCGTTAATATAAATCAATCTTATCACTAAACAGATTTGGTAAAAAATCATGACTTAAGCAAAATAATAATTAATATTATAGGAGATTACAGATATCCTTACGGCTTGCTTGCCACCGTGGCATCTGAAAGGAAAATAAAAGTAGCATTACTTACAGTATAAACAGCTTAACAATAGTACACACGCACTCATAGACATACATACACACATACTCATAGAATTTTTAGAATTTGCTTTTTTATTATAATTAGTATTTTTAAGTGTGTATTTCTTTTATATTAATTTGTTCTTCCATTGTGATTTCCTAATATGAGAGGGGTGGGCCAGGAGACCATAGTGCAGGGTACCCTATTTTGGGCGCCTGACTCTCACAAATATTTGGACTTCAAACGCAACTATGTAACACTTTTATGTACTTACTTGTGAAAATCTTTTGAATTTTTTTTTTGAGATTGGAATAAACATTACTAATAATATTATTAATGGAGTACAAGCTTTCAAGTTATTTTTGCTAAGAAACGGTTATGAAAGCTGAAATTAAAGCAGCAGTTAGAAAATTCTCTCCTTTCAAATTTACAAAAAATTCAGTAAAAATGACTAATGACATTTTAGCAAATTTAAAAAAAGCTAATTCTCACGAAGGTACAGCATCGTTTATGATGTTGATCTTATCGCATTGCCATATATATAGAAGCCCTGTAACCATTTCGTTCTCGAACCTTAGTCAAAAGTTAAAAGAATCATTGGTATGTAGACTCATTTTAATTTAGGCTCGTGAAGATCATTTGTTTCGTTATTGTACTATTACTAGACTTTTCGAGAAGTATCTTAAACTACTCACTTCTTAGACCCGCTTTTCACGGTACATGTGTACGTAAGCCGCGTCAGATGTCGAGCAGAGTCCGATCTTCTGACACACGCCCTTGGTGCCAAACTCTTCAATGAGGTGGATTATGCTGTCGCCATAGATCTCCAACATCGTGTGACACTATTAGAAAACTTATGAAGTTAATTACATTTTAAAATAACCATAAAATATCCAGGAGACACCGCAAAAAAGAGACTGCATTAACTTACTTTTACACTTCTTACTCCTTAAATCAAGTAACTATTATTTTTAATACTGTATATTTTTATAAGGTACATTAGAAATTATATTTATTGACGTCGTCAAGGTTGATTTTAATGAATTTTACTGCTACTTGACTACATCTTTTACAGCAGATAAATAACCTAACATGACGTCTACTATTACATTATTTCATCTCAACATGTCTATGGCCTTTCTATAACATACATCGGTCCAAGGCTACTTACTTTGCTATTAGTAGCAACAGAAATGTGTGTACCTAGTAAATAATCAATATTTAAATAAACAAAATTGTAGCTAGTGATATATTCTTTTCTTTTTTTCTCTTTTTCTTTTTAAAAAGACAACTCCCGCATTAGGAATATATCCTGTGTCGCGGGGGACTTTACAAACATACATGAAACGGACACAAAGAACACCCAGACTCAGAACAACAATTTGTGGATCAAACAAAGTGTCGTCCCATGTGGGGTTTGAACCCACAACACTTGACGTAGTAGGAAGCGGCGTGGCGACCGCTTAAACCACTACGCCATCCGTGCAGTCATTATTCTTACTATTGCCCTTTTTTCGTGCGTTATATAATAAAGGCAGCAAACGTGTTTTTAGAAGCAACGGGGTCTTAAAAAAGGCCAAACATTTTTTAACTTCTTACCCTGGCGTCGTACTTGGCAGGTAGCAGGTTACAAGACTTCTCGATAATGTGCACAATGTTTCGATCGACCTTCTCGTTGCTGAGCACTTTACGCACCGCCATCACCACAGTTTCGCACACGGCGCAGTCCAAGATGCTTTCTGTATGGGACAATATATATAGAGACATAGTAAACAGTACATCAGTTATGTATGATCATACGAAAATTATCACAACATCTATCTTTGAATAATTGACTTAAATTCGCACTCAGGTGGAGTTGCAGAAAACACCCCAAGTTAACCTGTTAACCTAACATCGAGTTTCTAGTCCTCTAGTTTTTAAACGGTGTTGCCGGGTAGGTATTACTGCACAAAAAAAACACTGTTTGCCTGAGCTCAGGAATATCATTCTCAAATTACACTGTGTTAGTCATCAGTTACACCCCGTGTCACACAAAGTAAGAGCCATTAGATGCGAACTAAAGCCTATTATTACGCGCAATCATAATGTTTTATGCTTCTGAATGCAAGGTGTGCGGACCTCTATTATAATTGACCATCATGAGTGAAATTAAGTCAGGAATACACTCTTAAATAAGCATTCTGAGCATCTGCATTCTTAAATGAGTTTTCACGTCTAACTAGAACCCACCATGATGTAATTTTTAGACGTTGCCAGGATTAAAGAGAAATACATGAATTAGGTTTACAAAAAAACGTCGTCTTCCTGAGTTACCAAGCCTCCCACAGAATCGCAGGCGATTGCTTTTAAAATAATTAACGAGAGCTAATCTAACTATGCACAGGCAATTATAAACAGACAGACATAAATAGATGTGAATTTAAAATATATTTTTTACCTTTAACCTCTTCAAATTTCCTGTCAGAGTTTTGTGGACAGAGCTTTATCTCGGTGCAGACCTGTTTAGGACTAAGCTCTTGAATGAGCAGATTTATGACAATGTCGGCGTACTGATCGATGAACTGATCGCATTGGGTGTGAATCGATTTCGGCATAAACTTGCAAACACCATGGACCACTCTTTTGATCTCGTCCTAGAAAAGGATTAGTATTGGTATAAATATTTCATAATCAAGTATATTTATCACGTCAATAACATTGTACATCATGCATAAACTACTGCATACAAATGAGGTACAATCACGTAAAAAAGCTTCCTCAAACTGCGTTCATTTTTAACTATACAAAAACGAGTAATTTAATTTTTTTAGTATCTTTTGTGTCCATTTAATTTTTACAGACATAGTCAAACCGTTTGCTAACACATAGCACATAAACCAAACATTAATAATTATCTTATAATACTGATTTAATGTTAAGTCTACGACTTACAAATCCAATTCTATCACCAACTTTTCTTATGTAAACATATCTACACCAAAGCAAATTATATTATAATTAAAAAATAGACTACAACTATTCAGAAGGATAAAAAGAAAATATTTTAGAAATTACCGTTGTCCTATTGCTGAAATTATTTAACTGTCAACAAAGAGAGAATTATGTATTACAAATGCCTCACAAACCTCTTAACGGTGAGTTTGCTTACTGTTAACAAGTGCCCATATGTAACAGGACAAGAAAAATGTTAAACCAGATAAGGGATGAAAACGCATCCAAAGAACAATTATATAGTTCGGCTTACCTTAATTATATAGGTCACTAACCATTAGACTGTTACTAGATCATAATATGGTCTTAAGCCGAAGGTCGTGAGATCGATTCCCACCAAGGACAAGTAATTGTGTGATGAGTACCATCATTTGTTCTGAAGGCTAATTCTCTTAATAAAAGTTCGGTCTCAATTTAGTTCCGATCAACTTTCGGTCTCACAATTGTCATAAAAGTCTTAGTAAGTAGTTGATAGGAACTATATTGACTAAACTTTTATTACGAGACTATATTGGTCTTCTGGTGTTCGAGTGTAATTATCTATAATATGTTTTTAGAAATATTTAAGTGTGTTTATCAGCAGTCTGGTTACCATAGTGTGTGTGTGAGATGTGTCATGTTATTATTACTTACCTCGTTATGTTTGTCCTTGAGCTGGTTGTCGATCTCCTTGAGCACGAACTCGCACACGACGCACAAGGTGGAGGCCGAGGGGAGGGGGGGCCGCACCTCGCGACCGTTCGCCGTGTTGTCGAAGATCTCGTTCGTTTCTTCAACAACAATTGCACATTTAAAAAAATATTTATAAATTCGTATCCCACTTTTAATAAAAAGTGGGATACGAATTCTGTTGGTGCCCTTTAAGTCCCAAGATTCAAATTCTTATCCGTGGGATGTTACAAGAGCTTTCTTAACAAAAAAAAATAGGTAGTAGTCGTACTAAACGTTAATGTTATACCAGTTAATGTTATATACCATAGGTTTTAGTGAATTCATGTTATTGTTACATTATAGTCTTTGTGTCGAGTAGTATATACATATCTATACAAATAAATAAAATTGGAGTGTCTGTTTGTAATATCAAAATAACCGCTTTTTACTAAATGCATATGTATGTTTACACGGTACATATGCCAAAATAACATTTTTTACAATTTTTGTCTGTCTGTCTGTCTGTTTGTTCCGGGTAATCTCTGGAACGGTTGGACCGATTTCGACGGGACTTTCACTGGCAGATAGCTGATGACGATTTTTTAGACTAGCTTCGCCCCGCGGCGTTGCCCGCGGTAATAACAAGAAACGCGGGTAACACCGCGGGTACCTTATCTCTTCGTACTTTTCACAAGGTACAACTAAACTAAGACTTGGTCATCATTCTGTGTCGAAGGCGCTTACAATGGGATGTCCTCAGGGATCGGTGCTAGGTCCATACTTGTGGAATATCGGCTTCGACGATTTTCTTGCGATACCAATACCATCCGGATGTACTCTGAACGCGTATGCTGATGACGGCTTATTACTGGTGGAATCTGATACTAGGGCGGGGCTTGAGAGATTAGCCAATAGATGTTTGAACTTGATATCTCAATGGGGTGAACGTAATCGCTTAACTTTTGCACCCAACAAAACCTTCCAGCTACTTTTAAAAGGTAACCTCAAATCACCGCCGAGCATTAGATTTGACAATGTTACTGTAAAAAATAAAACTACAGTGTGTTATCTAGGATTAGTTTTAGAAAGAAACATTTATCGAACATATTAAAATAGTTAATGAAAAGTCTAAAAAGAGTTTCTGTGCATTGACAAGGATATCAACTGCGACATGGGGTCTATCATTTAATACATTAAAGATCATATACGGAGCTACTTATTTAGGTTCTATGTGCTATGGTGCACCTGTATGGGCCGATAGGGCGACCGTAGGCGCTGTCCGTCGCAAACTGTTACAAGGCCAACGACTTGCACTGATATTCTTGTGTAAGGCATATAGGACGGTTAGCACTGAGCCTTGCCGGTGTTGGCGGGTGTCCTTCCGGTCGATCTCGAGGTGCAGAGACGTGCAGCCATGTACTATTCAAGACAACAAAACATGGAATGCGATTTTTTGGGCGCGCGGGATCGCGGTAAAGTTACAAGATTGCTTCAACAGCAGCCCGATGTCTATAATGACCTCATAGACGAATGGCAACAACGCTGGGATGAATCATCCAAGGGGCGCCATCTTTACCAATTCTTTCCATCTGTTCGCGAACGGTTGTCGAGGATATGGCTTGAGGTAGATCACTGTGTCGCTCAATTTCTTACGGGTCATGGTAACTTTAAGAGCAAGCTTTATTCATTTAAATTAGTCGAGTCACCATTGTGTCAATGCTCAACACCTAACTCTCACTATGAACAGTCTGCTCATCATATCCTCTGGGAATGTAGTCTTTGGTATAATGAACGTAATATAATGCTGAATAGCTTGCAGGTGAGATCTGGGGCGGTATACTATGGGGATCTTGTGTCAACTAGGGTGAATTTCCGTGCGTTTAGGCGATTCTGCCATACATATTATAGAAATCAAACATAGCTCACGTAGGACCCGTAATATTTGTGGCCGTGGTGCTTCCCTGTTTAAAAGGGTGTATGCCCATTTTACTTCATTTTGTCTCCCGCTTTGCTAAGGAGGGAAGTGGATTTACTGTATTTCCAACTCCTCCAATTTTCTTCTGATTAATTTCGTTGCGGGTTCCAAGACAGTTTAATTTCTTCCTGGGACTTCCCGAGTGTGGGTCACTGCTGTGGATCCTGGTGTACAGGAGTTACAGTGGTGGGCGTGTGGGTGGGATTAGTCCCATTAACACCGCGGGTCTCAGCTAGTAATGTATATAATAAATAATATGTGGACCCGAAAGACGTTTTACCTGAAGTATTAATTATTATCTTTTTAGTCTCATAATTGATTTCGATAGTGCAACGGATAAATTAAAAGCACAATAAAACTTGGAAAAAAAAACACTGTAATTCCTAAAAACCGATTACATCTCCATCTACCGTGAAACAAAACTATTCCGACATCAAAATCGGTCTAGCCGCTTCAAGTGGAGTTCAATGACATACAAACTTACGAAGATATGTTATTCAACTCACCAATATCCTGTTTTTCTTGCACCAACATTGAAGTGGGCAGCAGAGATTTTTTCCTAAAGTTGTTCCAGTCTCCCCTCAGGGAGGGTTTGTCGTGGTACTTATCGATCGGATCTTGAGTGACCGCGAACGGATGCTTGACTTCAGTGGAGCAAAGTTTCAGGAACACGCAAATCTCCTGAGCGTCCATATCGGCGACGAGCATTTCGATGAGTTGCTGCGTGTACGTGTCCACGAAGTTTATACACTGGCTACGCAGTTTAACAGAGAGGTGTGTGCACAAGTTGTCGAGAGCTTCACGAATTCTTTCCTGAATTTTCAAAAACAGTTTTAGTTTCGTACTTATTTATTCGAAAATAACATCGTCACGATAATTCTTACTGCTGTTTTAAATGCAAATATAAGTTTTGTGTTTCTCTGCTACTCACAATGAGGTGTGCATACGTATACACATTGTCAGGGATGCATAGACAGAAAGGTTAGCAGACGTAAAGGCACATAATTATGGGTTATAATCTAAAAAATGTAGTGTTCCTGAGTAACAGAGAAATTACTTTTAATGCGAACAAAGCCACTTATGTTTCTTTTGATTTGTTTTGCGTTGAAAAGTGAATCATATTATGCGTGCTTTTGGAATGAATATTAATAATAAATACTCTGTTGTAACTAAAAAAACTAATATTCAGAAACAGATAAAATATATACATAAAATGCTTAAGGAAATCTAGGTCTTATCGCAAAACGCTATCGCTAACGCGTCTTTCAAATAACCTTTGGATGGATTATTTAGTAGTTCATTGTTAGAGAGTGAAACCCTTAAGTCAAAAGCTTTACCAATATAATATGATTTTTGTTTGTAATAAAAGGCATACCTCGCTACGGTTATTCTTCAGCGTAGTCTCGAGCTGTTCGACGGCGAACAGGCAAAGCGGACAGTTCGATTGTTTAGTGTTCTCTTCTACGAGACGGACTTCTTCAATTTGTGGGCAGATGCCGAGGGCTGGGCACACCTGAGGTTCAAAACATAATTTATATAGATTTGAAAAGTCAAGTTTTGAAGCTTCCTATTGGAATATCAGTAGGAAATTAAATATTCTTGAAAATTTCGTCGAAGTTAGATGCAGTTACTCTGAATAATATTTTAAATGAAAGATTGGTATTGGACCGAGCTAAATTTTGCATACACAACAGGGATACAATAAAAACTTAGATTACTTTTCATTACGAAAAAGACACCCTCCCCAGGGATATAAATTTTATCGTTAATCGTTGAGGGTATTTTTTTTTTGTAAATATTATAAATAGCGTACACTGGCGGGGTCGATATCTTGCACGAGCAGTGCGATGACGGCGGGTCCGTACTGCGACACGAACTGCTCGCACTCCGCCTCCACGGACTTGGGCAGGCGCTCGCACGCGTGGTTCACCGACGCTATAATTTGGTCCTGTACAGAATAACATAAGAATTACATGAGATTTTTTTTATGACAGAGGGGCAGACGAGCAGACGGGTCACCTGATGGAAAGTGACCATCGCCGCCCATGTACGTCTGCAACTCAGGTGTCACAAACGCGTTGCCGGCCTTTTAGGATGGAGTACGCTACAATAGAGTAGAATACATGAAATGATATCTTAGTCATTGAATAATATTGTTATCCTAAACTATCATTGCTGCATTCACTATACTATATTGAAGAACTCATCGAACTTTTGCTTAAATCAACCAATAAAAAAACAGCCTTGAATTTCATTTGCAGGAGTCCATGGGCGACAGTATTTAGTTACCATCAGGTGACCCGTGTGCTCAGTTGCCCCCTTATATCATAAAAAAAACGATACACCTCAGAGTCATCTACCAGCACACCTTCAATTAACGCCTCATATTGTATATAACATTGGGTTTTTTAAGAATGTTCCAACAGCGTTTACTGAACAAAGAAAGTAGTTGGTATAGACTTTATTTTCAGTGAAATAAAAATAGTGATATCTTTTAACACCTCACACATGGTCTCCTTATTGCAAACTAGGCAAAGCTTGTGCTGTGGTAACTTATATAAAATATTATAATTCTAAATTGATTTTAATAGTATAATTATTTTATACAACATTTGTGTAAAATAATTTATCCCGAAAGCCCGAATCATACATATTATCTATCAAAATAAATCTTGAAAACATAAAACAACAACAGAGGATGTCTTCAGTACGTATACATTTATTTTTTATAAAAAGAATGTAATAATAATTATGTACCTCAACCCTGGTATCGCTGATCTCGACTTGCAGATAATGCAGGAAGTATTGGCAAAAAGAGCAGGCGGCCTTCCCGTTGACTTGCGGGACGGATACAAACATACGTTCGATTGGTAATGGGCCAGGGTTCGCGTCCGAAATCACCTTAACATTGGTCTCCTTGTTTGCAATCGGAACTCGGGCCAGCTGTAAGAAATACAGCTCACAATTAATAACGACTTTTTAGGAGACGATTACCAACATATTAAAAATATTGCTGAGTATACAACATTGAACTCATTCTAGAATTCGATTCTTTCCATGTATTAATTTTAGTTTAGTGAGTTATGGTTCTAGCAAAGGAAGATGTAATCTAGTAAAACTCCCCGACATATCAAATCTAATTAAGGGTTCTCACGTTACCAGCTCATATTGCAAGAAAAATATATTTAATTCCATTAATTTTGAAGAGTACTTTAGAGTATTTTCATTATAAACACTTACTTTGTCGGTCTTATAACTGTTAGCCTCATAAATACCGATCAGTTTGGGTTTATTCGCCAAAACTTTAACGGCCAGTTCTCTGTCGACCAGCGGCGCGACAGGGACCTCGGTGTTGTTGCCACAAACACCCATCAGCGAACAAATCACGTTCGGCTTTAAGTCATCGACCAAGTATTTGTAGATGAGTGCATAGTACTGCTCGGCTAAGTGGAGACATTCATCTTTAAATTTGCCGGTTTGTTTGCAGAGACCTGTTAAAAAATATAAAATGATAAATTTTCAGATAACTCTCTATGATATGAAAAGGTGTAGATAATTTCATCACAAGTTTTGTATAAGATTTCAAAAATACAATAAATATTCTAGTAACATGCAATCATTCAAAATAAAGATATGAGTATTTTATTTCTAATCTCTTTCTGATTAGTTTTTACCATTTTTATCTTTATTTTGTTGGAGACTGATGTTATCAAAATAACTTGTCAATGGTTTAGTAGTTATGGAAGCTTTTTCCTATTGAATTTTTAGCTTGTTGGTTCATTTTGTCAAGTTAATAAGTAACACTTGACTGCTAAATTTATTTAGCAGTCAAGTTTTACTTTAGCGATGAGTGTAGATCCACCATCAAATTTCGTCGAATGTAGTCTCTATTCGAAGAAATTTGATGGTTAAATAATGTCGCTTCTTCATTTGGGTTTGAAGGTCTATTGATATTTTTTTTTATAGATGAAACATGTATTCGTATATATAAGATTACTTAAATATAACAACAACAATTTTTAAAGCTAAAACAGGTGCAAGAAAGTGAAAAATAAGGGAGGAAATTCTAGTACAAAAATAAAAATAAATTAAAAATTCGACAAAATTCGAAATTCGTATATATTACCTTTCAATACTTTGTAAAACTCGAGCTCAGTGGTGTTTGCAATCATCACGTCACGCAAATGTGTCACCAGCTGTTCACACAATTCGCAAGGAACATCGCTGTGTAATGAAAAAAATATTAAAATTAACACTTCAGGGGCAAAGAATAAAGAAATGTATGGCCTTCATACGCACTACTGTATGACGTATAAAATACAAAAAATCTAATGTGAACTATAACCCAGAAAACGTTATATATTTTTTTATATCTTGAAAAAGCACGTAAATAAATAATTAAGTAATTTAATCTTAAGGATAATAGTAGGTACCTACATAAGATTAATTTGATTTGGCTTTTGAACCTCATTTTATTTTCACTTAGGTCTTAAAATGACAGCACATCGCTAAATAATAACAGATTTCTAGAATCAAAACTATTACAACTTTTTTGCTATATTCTTAAACACAAAATAAACCATAAAAATGTATTCTAGTAGTCTCAGTTAAAAGACAAAGCTTTAAAGACGTCAGAGACTGAATTCACCTTAAGGCGGGATCGGTATCTATTGCCTATTTTCTGCGTTATTGAACCTTTATCCCATCTGCCTCCACTAGGGCCTAGGGCTGATTATTTCACATCAAATCGCTCTCGTCAACGAGCGCGTTCGATGAAGACTTCAGTGCAGGCCAATCGCGGCGCCGAACGCGGTCACGTGACGATCGAGTAGATGTGAAATAAACTCGCACTTGGGTTAGAAGTACTCACTTAGTATCTTTGTATCCAATGACGTCCATAGGGAAGGTGTAATCGTCGTGCGAGTGGTATCTGTAGGCGCACTGCCCGCTCACGTGGCATAAGCTGGTCGGTTCCAAGTCCTTTTGTAGCGCCGCGCTAATGTTCTCGTAGTACTTGAACACCAACATCGAGCACGAGTCAGAGAACGAGCCCAGTTGCCGGCATACCTGATTAACGAAAGTTGGGGATTATTATTTATTGATATTGATCTTACATTTACAATAATTTTGGTGACAACGTGTTGTAAATAGATTATTTTACTTTTTTTATAGTATGTCCATAGCAATTCCCTAATGTTGACCCTCATAATGTCAATAAAAATCCGTGACATTACGAGGCTCAACAACCAACATAGAACTGAGTTCCAAACCGGAAATTTTTAATATGTTTTTTCTTTTTATTTATTTTTATTTACTTTAAAAGTTATTAAATAAAATATATTTCTAGAATGTTCTATTACACATGATTATGGAACAGTAAAAAAATATGAACCTTTAACATTCCAACCAAGAAGTCTTCATCGCTAGTGGTTTCAAACTTCATCCTCAGCCCACCGACAATATTTTGGCAATTATTACACTCTACACGGAGTTTCAACTGCGTGTTCTGAAAAAAAAACGTGTTCTAATTATGAATGTTAAAAGAGACAGTACATAATTTACGACGAATGAATTTTGGGTGCCCTTGAGATGAGTAATTTTTTTTAACTTTTTCTGAGCAATAATTGATGCAAAATTGATGTTATTTTAACTAAGTTCCTTATCGCGCGTTACACGTTCTGAGCGCATGGGAGCGAGATCGAAAAATGTTTAACAAGACTTTTTTCCAACACTACAACAAACGTCTACAAAAAAAGCAAAAGGAACTTTGTTCCGACCGGGGGGTCCATCCTCACGCCTTTTTGTTTTAACTATTTTTATTGGAACAAAGTTCCTTATCGCGCGTTTTACGCTCTGAGCGGATGGGAGAGAGACGGGTGTATATCGAAACGAATATGGTCATATTAATTGATGTTGACTTTTATTTACCTTCGAAATATCTTATTATAATATGACAATTGAAAATGTTTTTAAGGACAATGACAGCTAGTAGAAGGAATCGACCCATATTTTAACTCCATAATTTGTTCAACAAGTTTGACCGAAAGTTGTTTAGTTAACATGAGGTTAATTAAACAACGATGATAATAAATACAGATATTTTCAGAATCACATTATAAAGGTTTTGAACGGCAATATACGAGAATCGTATATTGCCGTATATTTCGTATTATAATCTACATAACTCGGTTTAGAATGATAATAAAATTAGTTGATAATGATTTCAAAACAACTTTTGCGTCATACTGTTCTTCTCTGTGACTTTACATAAGTACTTACACTCCCGTAAACATTGAATAGATGGACATGGAATCGTTTGTGAGAAATTGCGTTATTTTTAAAAAGTAATACATTAAATATGTGTATGTTCATGTATTGTATGTGTATACTTGAGACCTCTATGTATATATGTAGTAATGAACATAGATTTTATTTATAGTATATAGTGTATATATGTTAGTTAGATTTATCTTAAATTAATAAATTTAATATTAAAAAGTCAAATTCTCTGATTTCTCTTGTACCTACAGCATCATTTTTCTACATCACCCGAAGGTCGACTGACAGAGAATGGCTTGCGCATTAAGTCCGCCTGTGTAAAACTTGTGTAACTTGGGTAACCAGTTTATACCACTCAAAGAATCGACTTTTTTTTGTATAAAGTATTAGTTCTCTCAAGAACTATTACTTTATGCAAAAACAAAATAACTACTCAAGAAGTGGTCACTACACGACTGGAAACTTACTACACATATGTGGTCAAAATTTGAAAGTAAAATTCGCATTAGTTCCGATGCTATGAGCACTTAAGTAACCGCCCGTAGTCGGTTCGGCGCCGAAGCTACATTTTATTTCAAACGCGTTTTTCTCGAATCGACTTTTTTTCAGTCTAGCTCAAAAACTTATTTACCAATCCTTCTGAATTTTTTGTGAAAATTCCTTATTCGATTCTAATCCATAAATACCTAATTCTGGGATTATTATGGTACTATTTTGGGAAAAAATATATTATTATTAAAAATATATTTTTTTATGCAAAAGAGGTAAAAGAAATATGGTGTAAAAACATGACATTGTATTCAAACACCTCAAAAACATTCAAAAAAGGCAAAAACTGTTTTTTCGACTGGGCAAGTGATGGCGACTGTTTTTTGGGATAGTCATGGTATTATTTTAATCGATTATCTCCAAAAATGAAAAACTGTTACAGGAGCATACTACGCATCATTACTTGACAAGCTGAAGGCAGAACTTGCTGAAAAACGGCCACATTTGCAAAAAAAGAAAATCCTGCTTCACCAATACAACCAACCGTCTCACGAAAATCTACGAATTACGGTTTGAGCTGCTTGACCATGCGCCTTACTCACCAGATCTAGCCCCAAGCGACTTCTTGTTACCTCATCTAAAAATTGCGCTCGGAGGACAGAGATTTTCGTCAAATGAAGAGGCAATCATCTTCGTGAACAATTATTTTGCAGAGAAAACGCCGAGTACTATTTGGACGGGTTACAGAGATGGGAGCATCGCTGGGAGAAGTGTGTAGAGAGATAAAAAAAAAACTGATGAAAGGTCTTGTATCTTTGTTAGGTCGGAAACTTTTCAGACCAACCTTTTCAGACCAACCCTAGTCATGTAAATTTTTATGTGAATTATGCAATTTGCAAGAAATGCCTTTAAAGATCATTTACTAGATAGTAATAAAATAAAGTGCCGGACATTTCACTGTAGTAGGTAAGAAATGTAATTTTTGATATGAAATATGTAAGTTTAAAAATGCTTTTAATGGTAATTAACCAGTTACATATAATCAAATAAATTTAAATTTAACTGTAAAGAATATAAATTTTTATGTGAAATATACACGTTAAAATTTTAATTTATTACCTACTCCACTATAACCACAATATTGGAAGCATGTTTAGAAAACGTACTTGTTTGCAATTAATAACCGACATCATCACACACCACACGTCAGCACTAACATCAAAATTGTATAGTTTAAAAAAAAATAACTTACATAATCTTCCAATAAGCGATCTATTTTAGCATTGTTACACATTCCTGCAACAGAGCACACAGCCATCGGATTCATCTGCGAAGCCAGGGTCTCCACCAACTCAGGCACAAAGTCATCTGCCAGCTTGATACATTCCTTTGCGACGAGCTTGATTGGAATGAGCTTGCAAGAACCCTCGAACACCTCTTTAAGTTCTTCCTGTAAATTGATATCATAATATTAGATTTTGTGCATACTCCCTAATCTAATCCTTAAGAAATTATGGTTTCGTACAAAAGCTTGGATCCTGATTGGTCAGGGGCGGGTCTTGATCGGTACGTCACATAAGTGTCCAATACTCATACTCGGTAATAGGTCAAGCCTATTATGTAAGTGGGACTAATATTATGATTGGCAAAATGTGGTCATTTAATGCTCCTGTGTCTACCCCTTAGGTGTTATATAGGCGTGAGTATATAATATGTACGTAGGTGTTGTGAAATTTAACGTCAAGATATCGAAAGGAGTTACAAAGAATGATCCTTTGTGATAAACTAACTTTATAGATGTTCTTTTATCTATACACTAATAATGTTTTATTAATAATAGTTATTGTAACGTAATATCAATGGCCCACACTGTAATCTTCACCAATCACAACGCCAAACGCGGTCGCCGTCGAGAGCGAATAATAAGAAATAAAGCCACACTAGGCACTCTGATTTAGAAAAACTCAACACGAAAAAATTGTTCAATCTTAGGTTCGAATCAGAAACTTTCGACTTGGTGGCGGTTTTCGAGGTGACCATTAAAACAATGCGCAATACGTTTTGTTCATGATTGTTAAACAATCTTTAGTGTCTATTGTTTCAAAATATCGTCACCGAGTATCGTTAGCGATTCTTCATTTGTGTGTAAAACATTCAATGAAAAGGAAGTCTGAATTAGTTTTTAATGAATATTGAGATGCGTTCGTGTGGTAACGGATTAAAAACGGAATGGCTCCACCCTTAATTATCCCGTGGGTGTCGTAAGAGCCGACTAAGGGAGCAAACTACACAGGACAACAGCACTGGAAAAAGAAGGAAAACTTGACACAAAGCCCATAACAACTTGTCTGGCCAGTGTTGTATTGTAGGCCAAACCCTACTCGTATCTAAGTAGGCCTATGTCCAGCAGTAGACTATTAAAGGCTGTTCATGTGATTGAGATGCAAGACTTCATTGCATCACTAGCTAACTAAGGAGGTTCTCAATTCGGCTGTGATGTTTGTTTTATTTATCTTGTTACCTCAAAACGCCGTTTTTGTGATTTTTTTTCGTACCTAGACTCATTCTAATTCCAATTTTTCATTTCAGAATACAGTTTATTTCAATTCATCAAGATTTAGGCTTATCAAAGTCAGTGATAGGTACTTTTTTGAAAAGTGAATTAGTATATAATATTTGATACCTTTATTTTATTTGATAAACTTTCAGCGCGTTTACAATAGTGTTTTGTTGTTAAATATGATAACAGCAGAAAACAAATATTCAATTTTAAAGCACAACTGTAATTGTCGATAACAATAAATATAGATTCAAATTGTTTTTATTTGTATGTCAAGAATTTTAATATACGTGAAAAGTAGTGCTGTTAAAGAATGACTAAGCAGTTTAGTTATAGGCAGAGACGATAGCACGCAATTTTCCAGGATTTCCTGACACAGTCCACGCCTGCTCCACATACATCAAGCCTTTTATTCACGCTCGTCGGTTACGGGTCCTTTTAAAGAAACCCTACATCAGTACATTGCCGATCTGATCAGTGTAGGTCTTTCGGGACCTGCCCGCACCGGTTCGCCTACTCATAGGGGTGTACGTGGTCATTGCATTAAGTACTCTAATCATCATACAGAACGTACCGATGATGAAATACAGGCACTTAATCAGTTAGTAGCTACCATCGGACACTGCTAGCCTCCATAACCATATGTTTAGAATATTATCGTTACCGTATTAACATTCATATCATTATTATTTTAACTTAACAACAGTCAAGGCTGTTTAAATTTATAAAACAATGTTGAACACCCCTCCATTGTCTGCATTATCGGACAATGACTTTAATCGTTTTACAATGTTTAAGTTCATGCGTTGTTGGTTCTAACTGATAAAATTAAGAAACATCGTTCAACATTGTTGTACTAAAGTATATATTGCTACCTCCACACTGCTGCTACTCGACTGCACGGATAGCATATATGGCCACTATGCCATCCGTGCAGTCGAGTCGATAATTATATATACTTAGATTTTAATTTTATAGACTTAGTTTATTGGCCGCCTGAGTATTACCACGGCCTCACAAAAAAACAGAAGTTAAGCAGTTCTTGCGATTTTTTTTTTTACTGCGCGGATGGCGTAGTGGTTTAATCGGTCGCCTCCCCGCTTGCTACTGCTCTGAGTGTTGTGGGTTCGATCCTCACGTATGACAACACTGTGTGTGTTTGGGTGTTCTTTGTGTCCGTTTCATGTATGTTTATAAAGTCCCTTGCGACACAGGATATATTTCTAATGCGAGTTGTCTTTTATAACAAAAAAGAATTAGCATATTAATTGATTTATGATCTATCTGTGGAAGCTTGTACACTTCGAGATGTATAAGGAGACTCTTGGTTAAAGGTCAGTGACGGGCGTTAAGGCGGCCAGTGTTGTTATCTGTATATTCTATTTTAAATACATAAGTAAAGCCATTTATTTCTGCACTTGTTCACACAATATTTTAATATTAATTCATTTTAATCTCTATATATGTACGTATTTACAAAATGTAGTATATACCTAATGGAAGTAATTGGACATCAGCGTAGTGATTAAGCACACGAATATTTTATAACATTAGCCTCTAAAACAAACAAATCCAATTTTAAACAATAATTCCCATATTATGAGCTCTCTTGATAAAGTCTATAGATTTTTTTTTGTCGTTGGCCAATGGTTTCATTCATTATTTCAATTTACCGCTATATTCTAAATCAGGTCATCGTATTAAATGACGTAATAATGTTCATTGAACATGAACAGCAAATTGTCGAAGGCAATACAAACACGCGATCTGTGAAATGTTTTACTTGACTTGTATACCCGTGTACCGAGGATGTAAATAGTATTTATACTGATAGCTATGTGTCACCACATGCGAGTTCAAGAAATAACATACAGCCTTAACTGAAGTAGGTACACAGTTCAAGTAATAATAACAGCAAAAGGAATGCATTAATTTATTTTGTTTTTATTTAATGTTATCAACTAAAATTTCGCATGCTATTTAATGGCGAAATGTGTCCTATACTCATTGTTTTATCTACTTATCATCTTTTGTACTATATTTTATGTTAATAAATATAGGTACATATTCATAAACAGTCTTTAATATCCCTTTCAAGTCTTTAAAATAATGGCCGAATTGGTAGAGCCGTTCTCGAGTTCTGCGCCTAGCAACACACATGATTCATTTTTATTTATGTACATTACATCATATATTGGAGGAGTCAGCACTGTGTATAATAATAATTATAAATGTGTCATACCTGTGTCTCATTGCTCTGAAGCTGATCGCGCGCCTGTTGCACCATGTCGGTACAGATTTTGCAAATATTGTCGTCATCTACAGGGAACTCCATCTTGGACCATACTCGTTCTACACAATGGTGTGTTGCCTTGCATTCTCGCCCAGTGCTACAGGAAATAATTACAAGTTAAACAATAAAAACTCACAAAATCTGGAGAGTAAGAAGAAACTTGTGTTTCAGTAATTTCCAGTCTGCTAAAAAGCAGAGTTCCTTTCTGGAGTCATATTCTATTAAGCCAACTACAAGAAATACCTAACTTATTGCATGAAGTGTATAATAAACCAATAACATACATCAACTTCCACTATTCTTTTACTATAAGATATTAAGCCACTTATTCAAGTACGTTATGTAAAATATTTTGCAACGAATGCTGCTCAAACGTTCTACGCCGGCAAATCATTGATTGCATGGCTAACAAAACACAGTAACATTGTGGCTTTGTAACAATGCAATGCCACGAATAACACAATTTGCAATGCAATGTAATTGATTTATAGTTTCACAGAATTAGGAGAATACTTAAGTAAGAAAATACATTTTGCGTAAGAAGTAGATGGCCCATGGAACATTTCAGCTCTGAACAGCTGCTTGATCTCTATATAGCCTAAAATCCAGGATGGCTGAGCTAATACTGTAGATTTTATTGACCGAAGAGCCTGTAAGCTTATAAATGAGGATATACTCTAAATACGAATAAGAAATTACATACACTTGAGAATCCTTAAAAATCGCCTACTTCTCGGACTCTAATAGGATTTGATGGTTTTGCGAAATTTCTATTCATATTTACCGAACCATCAGCGAAGGCTAGACGCAAACAAAGGTTCCACATCTTTTCATTGTCAATCATTGTCAATTCACTAATAGACGAACTAACCACTTTGACAACTCTTTTTTTATTCGAGTTAATTAAAATCCAACATACCTACTAAGATACTTCTTTTACTACTTCTAGGATACTTTTTTTTCAATTTGATTACTTCAAATCGCAAACCTTTTTTTATTTCTTTTATACTTCTGTATTCTTTGATCGATAAAGCATGATGATACAGAAAGTTACTCTGTAAAATGTATTTTTCTATGTAATTACCTGAAGTTGCTACACCAATAAGAAGGTCCCCATGTGCAGCGTTGACCGCCCACCAATATTTCTGCAAGAAGAGAGTTATGTGGTAAAATATCTTACAACTGACAATATCTCTGGATCATATTTTTCTTATTACATATTCTTCTCGTTCTTCGATCATTTACGATTTCTGTGCCCGCTTTGAAAACTACCGAAGTCGCGACAGTAAAGCAAATTATAAATAATAAGTATAAATGTGAAACTGTCAAATTTCGATATATCTACAATTTTAGCTGGGTTGTCTAGTATTCTCGCTTTGACATGGCAAAATTACGGAATCATACATAATATCCGAAAAATACAAGGAATGTACAAACTGTCTTTACCAGTAACTACAGATATTCATTCCAAAATGCCGCGTATTTGCACAACCTGAATGGCGGCTTTAGGTACGTCATACTATATAAAAACAACGATATCGTATTGAAAGTTCTCAGTTAAATTGGTCTTATATTATCAATAATTAGCTATTATTCAAATAAACAATGTTTAAATTATTGTGCATCATGTTACCCTACCGGGACGAAAATTGAAATTGCGAACAGGATGTAGGGGACTGATTCCGCACTGATTTAATGAATGAAAGTGACTCGGAGGTTAAATAAGATAATTTTATGTACGAGGAACAAAATAATGAAATAAAACGAAAGCACTATGACTTTTGATATTATTATTACGTAATAAAGTAATTTAAAGGTGTTTTTTTTTTTTAATTCTAAATAAAAAGTTATATAGCGTTGTTTTGCATTCAATTCTAATCTGCTACGAGTATTAGTCGAACCGGACATACTCGCACACATCAAAACAATGTTGTGGTAAATTTAATTATGCCATTGTATCTATCTGTAAATAAAAGAGTGGCCATGAGTTTCCCTTTCTTCTCATAAGGCTCAACCCCTTGGAAACGGCATAGATCGGCACAGGCATATCATAGATTTTGTTCAAGTTTAATTTTTATACAATTTTTTTGCCTACTATTTGAGATTGCTGCTACTAGGCATGCCTTTTAAGTTCTGTCGTTTCCATATTTCAGGTCAATTTTGAATTTGGAACTGTTCTATATTCGAATGTTTAAATTTTGAATCTCAAAATAGTTGAAAGTATTAGGATTAATGCTATCGTTTAGTCCCAGCGTCGATTGGAATCTGTCAGGTTACGTACGAAAATAAATCTTTCTAAGGAAAATGTTCGTGCAATAATTTTCTACAACTTTAGAAGAGGCCTGACACGGCTTCAGTGTTTTGAAGAGCTAACATCTGTGTTCAGTGATAAAGCCCCATGTCTGCGAACTGTCGAACGCTGGTATTTAGAATTCCAGCGTGTGGACGCCCAAAATCCGCCTTCACTGAAGATAACATCATTGCTGTGAGACAAGTAATTCTCGAAGATCGTCATGTGTAGTATCGAGAGATAGAGGCTCTATCCTAATAGAGCTTCTGAATGGTTGTCCCTGAGATGCCTACATCTCAGGGACAACCATTCAGAAGATCTTGCATGAAGCGCTTGAATACTTTGAAAAACAATAAAAATTACTATAAGGTTCTAGTTGTGTTTTTTTATTCAAACGAGAAAACTTAAAAGACATGCCTCGTATTGTGAGTATTGAGCTATGACTTTAGAGTCTACATAAAAGACGATTTCAAACAATTTTGATAATTTTATATAAGAGAGTGAGTTTGAACCGAATTTTACTAACTTCTAGGGTCAGGCAAATCATAAAAGTAAAGTGATCGCGTTAATTCCTCTCAATATAATTACAGAACCTTTTTTATTTAATAATTACGGATGATAATAATGACGATGAATTCAGTTATTGAGAGTAGCGTCTTTGCCATAAGGTCACTTTACACGAGGCACGTACCCAGAGCCCTAACATACCGGGGCCCAGAAATCTCCTTTTGAAGATATATAATATCAGTTGTACAGTCTTTTTTGTTCAAAATTATCTGTTTATTTTCAAGAGGTCCACTAAAGTTTTGCTTGCCAAAGGCGCCAACATGGTCCAAGACGACCTTGAATTTATCACTGACAAATATATCAGTGTGATTTATGGTGACACACGCAAATATCTGTAGTCAGGATTGACTATTTAAAGATTACGTAAGTGAGTTTTATGCTTATAGTTGGCAAAATGTCTCTGTCTGTTGCCCCTACAATAAGAACGTATTTAATAAAAATCCTTTCTAAGGATGTTTCTCCGAGTTTCAGAATCCAGTGGAAACTATGTTTATTTTGGATCGTAAGTTCAGTTATAAGCATTATTCGCTGACGCTAGTTTGTTGTCCAACTATTGTCCCCTCTTAATAAAAGTTACATGAAGTTTTATTCATTTATTTAGTTTCAATTCTAGTTAAGTTGTTGTTTTTACTTAGGTAGCGTTCTTTACCTAAGTTAAAATGTACAAGAAGCAAAAATATGTATAGGTATAATATATGATTCGATCATCAATTTAGTTTTTATAAATATTTAATTTAGTTTTTCTATACATATAACCTCTTTTCTAAAGAGAGGCCTATGTCCAGCAGTGGACTAGTAAGGCTGTTGATGATACATATAAATTTACTTGCTCTACTGACTGACTGATTCATCTACGCAGAGCCTAAGCTGCTTCGGCTACAAACTTAACATTTTGGCAGCTGATGCTTTTAAGGGGCTCCGTGCACTATGATCCCCTGCCTCAATCCCCTGGGGGATTTATTTGGAATTTTTATCTCTATCTATTTGGAATATGGATGTTTTGTAAACAAAAATCCCCTTAATATTCATAATTAAAATTTGGTTTAAAATAAATGTCGTAATGGAGTTGTCAAGGAATTAAGAGTTGTGTAGGAATATTTATGATTAGTGTGTGTGTAGTGGGTATTAGTATTTAGTAGTAGCGGATGTTTAGTTTATATGTGCTATATGCGACGTGACCGCAATTATTGGTATCATTTATGTTTATACATGTCATCAGTACCTACTCTTTGTTAATTATAAATAACTTCTATTGCTATTTTATTATTGTTACTTTATACTAACAATAATGAAATAACAATGTAGGCACATATTATTTTCACAGTAACGTTAGTAACACTAAGGAAATTGGCCACATTACAATCTATGCCTATTACGCGTGCAAAGTAACTTTGAAACTTTCGATCATCATCATAGCATAACAGTTCACTATTGGACATAGGCTTACCCTTAGACAGGAGGTTTTGGCCTACTATACCACACTGGCCAGACGGGTTGGTTTCCTTATCTTTGTAGTGCTGTTCTTCTACGTAGTTGGCTCCCTTAGTCGCCTCTTACGACACCCATGGGATGAATAGGGGTGGTGACACTCCGTATTCTTAATCCGTCGGACGTCCACACGGACAATATATAAATAATGTGATAGGAAAGTAAATTAACAGATGAATGAAAAACGATTTAAATTTGAATTATTATAACAAACACACCCACACTCAAAAGAGTGAAGCTTCTGTTTAAGTATTATTTTGTAATAGCCAACCAGCGCACTTTGGTCTCCGTCTCTCAAAAGGAATAATTTTGCCTTGTTTTTGCAACATTTTCATTGATACTCGGCTCCTATTGGTCGTAGCGTGATGCTGTATAGTATTCCTCGATAAATGGGCTATCCACCACTAAATGAATTTTTCAATTAGAACCAGTAGTTCCTGAGATTAGCGCGTCAAACCAAACAAAGTCTTAGGTTTATAATTCTAGAATAGATTCCATCGTATTATGAATCATATCAGATCAATAAAGTTGCGGTGGGGTTCTTGACCATATAGTGTTATACAGCTCACATTATTTTATAAACACTTCAAACAATGCTATATTGTAAAACGCCATCGCGATGTTATTAGTTACCGTTTTCAAGATATGAGATGTTCAAAGCCCCTATGGAGATGCTCTTAAAGATCATCGCCAAAGAATATATTTAAAAAAATGTTATTGTAAAACGACTGCTGATTTAGCGTCTAGCGGGCTCAGGGAAACTGAAATAAAGAACAAAGATTCAAGGGAATTCTAGGGAGACCCCACACACAAGGAGGCCATTTGTAAGAAGGTTCGAGATCCGACGGGGTACCAGGGGTTTCCTTTCTAGGTGACACCTGGTTCCATCTACACTAGTAAACGAGACGGCACACGGTTTTAGTCGGTTAGACTCCAACATTATCACCCCACCGGACGTCTATCGGGAGTAGGTATCCGAGAGGATTGCCGAACGAAAAAAAGGGCCATGTTTGAAACTGATTTATAAATTACCATTTCATCGGTTGTAATAAAACTGAATTCAGAGTAATAAGCATGATACATGTTGTATTCCGTACAATTTATTTGTAATAAGGTGAAAGCTAAATTTCGATAAAAAGTGATGTGTAAGTGTCTGTAGCAGGACCAGGTCAGGTGTGACCATAGAGATGCTGGCTGTAAGTGGAAGCGATGCATGCAACGACAGAGATGGATGCCCGATAGTTCCGTCTGTCACTGTTTAGCTAAACTGCGATTGGCTATCGTGAAGTGGCATGGTTTTAATCGTAGAACAGGCGGGAAATTAGAGATTTCCCGAGCCAACCACATAGCTCGACTAGAAAGGGATAGAGGGAACTATCTATTATCCATCTCTCTCGTTTGCCTATATTTCAAGATTTGGGCTCCTGTTCACTCTATGCTTATATCTCTATGGGTGTGAGTCTGGAAAACTAATACTAAGGTAATTTTAAATATATTTTTAAATCACTTACCTTTTCTGTCCGGCGCTTCCAATTTATGCACCTAAAATAATAGAAAAATATGTAAGTACAATACATTATAAAGACGGTAAATAATAAATATTTAAAATAGTAGGATATGTCAACACGCTTTATAGATTCACTACTAGAAGGCCAATTCTCTTAATAAAAGTTCGGTCATAATTCAGTTCCGATCTGAAGGTATTTTCGTAGTAAAATAGTAAGACTAGCAGATCACCGATTCAATTTTCGGTTACAATACGATATTATCACATTACAGTCAACTTTGGATGTTTAATATGTACTTTCCTACGAAAATACTTTTATGAAAGTTGTGAGATTGAAAGTTGATCGGAACTGAATTTAAAACAAGAACTAATATTACGATAATTAGCCTTCATAACTGGATATACCAACTAGAATAGAACCAATTAATGAACAAAAATGAACTAAACGCTTCTTGATCGTTCTTTCAGTTTTTTTTAATGCATGTTGGATTCACTAAGCAGGGTCAGCAGTACAAAATGGTGACTTCCAACGAATCCTACACCTATTTATTCATTACCTAATAAAAGATAAGGTCAGAAATAAATTAACTAGACAGAATGGTCTGGAAAACAAATTCTGGTTGTGTTTATCAACAGTGGACAAATTAAATATGACAAAAAATAATTGAATACCTAATCCCTTGTGTATACTAAAACAATTCTTAAAGGTATTTAGAAAACAAGTAAATCCATCATAAAAATTAAATTACTTTCTGAGAAAATCACAGGCATACAGACATATATATGGATAAACTAACTTTTTCCCGTGGCTCCGACCGCAAAGTATCTCTATGCCAAATGTTATTAAAATCGGTTCAGTGGTTTAGCAGTGAAAGCGTAACAAACAGACAAGCAGAGTTACTTTCGCATTTAGGAGGGATAAGAAAAAGCTTACCTTTCCCATCAGAATGTCCTCAATTTTGTCATTATTGCACATATTGATGAGAGTACACATGGTCTCCGGCGTCGTCTCCGACTGCAGTACATGGTTGATGTATTTGTGGAGACCGTGCGTGTTGTCCGTACAGATACGGGCGATGTCCACGTGGGCGATATCTTCGCATAATGAGGTGAGACGAGTTGCAAGGTAATCCTGTAAAAGGGGACCCTTGAATCAAAACAGTTTAAACTAGGAACTATTTAATTGTAGTAGCAAGTTTCTATTTTAAATTGCTCTTTTTCCTGTAGTTTTCCCGGCGTTGTGGAAATAGATTTTTACTATTGAATTCTGTCTAAAGAGTAAACTGTGACAACATACTTGTATGTACATAAATATGTGGCTGTACAATTTGTTTGTTGTTGAACATGTACATAAATAGGTGTAGGGTAGGAGTGGATGTAGCTTAATCACACCATAGATTTACAGCTATTTGCATGATCTCAGAACTCCCAGCAAGCGCTCCCATTGGTCCTTTGTCAAACTTCCTGTTACACATTTCAGTTCTTTTGTACAATTGCAGCAAAGCGAAAGAAAATATGTTACACTCCAAAATTATCGACACTAAAAGCAACTATTGGTGTAAAGCTACAACAACCCGTATGATATTGGATACTAGTATCGGTTTAGGTTGTTTGTCAAATTTTTACTTAGTTTTAGTAAAACAGCTTTCAATCGAGTATTAATCACACAATTTCGACTCAAATTCGTGATTGTCGATATACACTCATACTTAGTGTAATTAGGCCAAGCCCGATAAAGCGTTAGTTTAAACAAGTTACAAATGCCTACACAGTCTACAATCATGTATTGTTACCCAGTTCTAACATAAATTGCTTACATACGAACAACATTCAAAGAATCAAACACTCAGCATATGATAATTATCATATACTTATTGAGTAAGTATTGTGAAAGATAGAAAAAACATTATATGTGTCTTAATATTTCATCCCTAGACAGTTTTGACTAAACTTTTTGACGTGAACTGACTGCGCCACTAAGCCTAGCCTTGTAGTGGTTTAAGCGGTCATCTTGGGGCTTCCTACTGCGCAGAGTGTTATGGGTTTGATCCCCAGATAGGACAACACTTTGTGTGATCCACAAATTGTTGTTTTGAGTTTCGGTGTCTTTGTGTCCGTTTCCTAAATATTAGTAAAGTCCCCCGCGACTCAGGATATATTCCTGCGTGAGTCGTCTTTCAAAAATAAAACACAGTCGAACGTGAAATGATCAGCATATTCTATCAGGATTATACACACCTCGTTAATTAGCTCCCTAATATCCTTCATCTGCCTGAAGAATCGGACGACCTTCATGGACATTCCATTTAAGGCAACTGTGTCATTTCGTTTGTCCCAGAGTGTAGCTATGCAGTGTCCCACGGCTCCGCACTGCGACCCTTGCCTGTGCAAATATTACATTAAATCAGTGTAAGTGAGATGAGTCATACTTGTATGCAATGGACGGTGGGAACATAAATATTTTCGATCCCTTGTACTCAAATATACATATTATTGTTATAAATGACTCAAATATGTATAACTTTATTACACTTAGTGCTAGATTTTAATTAATCTTATATTATGTTCATTTGTAAACTTTCTTGTCTTGAATGGAATAATTAAAAACAATCAAGGAACCCCTTTTCATTTTTATTTGAAATGTACTGAATATTTATTTAGGATGTATTTGGGATTTTCAGTTTTGATTTAGTAGTATTCATTATGATGCTGGGTTTATTGGTAAAAAGATTCAGATCTGAAGTAATTGAGAGATTACATAATTTGATTTTGGAACAATTAGTTGTTTGCAAAGTCTCAAGATTTGAATTATGGAGAACAAATAAAGGTGTTGGTACTTCTACTTACTATGTCTTAAGATTACAATTATCTACACTTACTTTATACTGCTGCACCATACCGAAGGGCCCTGATGGCATTCTTTCGGTACCGCTAAGGACAAACCTATGAACAAAAGAAGTCATGATATATATGAGCCAAATAATCATCACAATAATAAATTATCATAAGTGCAAAGACTTGTCAAAAGGGGTCATAGGGTTAGTCATGTTTATCATTAAAACCGTTATACACAAGTGAATGGTAAGATATCGGACAATAAATGATGATAAATATGAACAGAAATATACATAATAGTTTTTTTATTGCCCATTAATATTGAAGTGTCAAAATGCAAATATCTTCTGTGAGATATATAGTAAAATATGTATTTTTTAAAGGATTACTGGCTACGGAAATTACTAGTATTCCCGTTAACCCCTCCAGCTACATACATCTGTGTGTCTCAAAAGCAATAAATTTTCCCCGTTATTTAATTAGAATGATGCTCCTTTTGGTTGTAGCATGACGTTTATACAACCTTCCTCGATAAATGGGCTATCCAACATTAAACGAATTTTTCAATTTGAATCATTAGTTCCTAAGATTAGCGCATTCAACCAAATAAAAGAAGAAACTCTTCAGCTTTACTTTCTCTTTATCAGTTGCTATATATCTCTAGATATAAACAACCCACTATATATTATCTTCAAAATTAGTTAAATCTTTAAAACAATATTCATTATGAATAATTGGAGCATGCATAGGAACATAAATATTAATATACTAGCTATTACCCACTTAAATTAAACTGGTTTTTAGGCATAGGCTATTATATAATATTAATAGTGAACCCGACAGATGTTGTCCTATACACACGTCAAACTAAAAAAAAACATTTTGTAGTAAATCAAATTATGAATCAAAGCCAATCTCAAATCCACTTGAACACACAAAAAAAAATAACAACAAAATCGGTCTAGCGGTTAAGAAGGAGATATGGTCACATACACACGCACAGAAGAATTATAAATATATTAAGACACATACTCTATAAAATGTATTATAAATTAATGTGTTAGGAAAGTTACTGCAATAATATGTATAGTTCTGGAGGCTATTGTACTCTGTAAAATAGTTGACTTGTTTCAAAACAGGAAATATAAACATTATAATACATATTATCAGAACAATTTAATAATATTTATGATTTAACAGCGCTCAAAGTAAAGTACATTTATTAAATCATTGTGTAAAGAAATATTTATGAATTTAAATTGAATTATGAACATTCACTAAGCAGCAGGAGTTAATTAAAGTTCAATTTATTGAATAAACTCATAATATATTCTGTTATGTATGTCTTAAGACTTTTCAAGGTGTTCAACTACAGCTTACCTAACCAGAGGTAAGGGTGAGGTATGTCTGAATTAAATCTACTAATGAGAGAGAGAAGAGACATCATCTGCACTCTCCATTGACTTATGTCACCTTATTAGGATGGGTCATACCAGATTTTTCTGGTTCTTTTCATCTAGCTATCTTAGCTCTGTTCATACTTATTTATTTAAATGCATGCTCCTCCTATACATGTTTTATGTCAGTTACAACAGAAAAATATATAAGAAGAGTGAAAAAACATAATTGTTAAATTATTTTTATCAAAAATATATAATATAATAGAATAATAAATAGAAGAAATAGAATATAATAGATTACAAGTATGTTGTATCTTACGTATTGCTTTGATCTGAATGTGATAATGAGAGTGTGATATATCATGCTTCTGCCCATTTACTATTTGGTATGTCCAAATTTTATCAATCCGTGAACAATAGTGTGGGTTATCTGTTTATACCTCGGTAATGTATTTCTATAGTTTTAAGACTAACATGTAACTGTTTTTTGTTCTGAATAAACCAAATAAAAGTAATATAATGATAGATTATAGAGAGAGATTGATTACAATTTTATTTTAAAGTTTGTATTATTATGTATTTAATTTAGTTACACTTTACTTTTCCGAAGATATATTATTTACAGTGACTAAACAAATAGATTTACTCATAAGGACTTAACAGACCAAATTAAAAAACATCCTAAAAGAAACAATTATCTAAATTACAATAGCATAATACAATAACAATAGCTCCGCTAATGAGATCAACGAAGGTCGACACTGTATTTGTGATAAACGAAATGTTTATACATGACGCGATTGCTTCCAAGAGTTACGAGAACATATGTGAAAATACAACGACCATAAATAATTACTCCGATTCAAAAAATGAAGGATATAAATTTTACAACTGCATAATTACGATAAAGAGAACAATGAAGGGTATCTGTAGATTTATAAAAAGAAAGTGCAAACTTTTATTCGAAAAAAGATATATACTTGCATTAGTGAATCATGGCATAAATATAATTTAAAAGCGAAATAAAGTATTAGCATTGCAACAAGGACGACGTAATAATTACTCGTGCGATTAAATAAAAATATTAATCAGTACTTACTCGCACAACAAAGTGCTATTAGACAAACCACGTACGTGTTTGTCATTTTAAGTGTTTTCACTCTACTCCCTGTACTCCAGTTTTGTGCTCCCCTACCGAAATACTAAACAAAAAATAGTATATCACTTTGTTTGGAAATTATTGCGTATCGCTTTGTATTACTTTAGATGTCAAGTCACCACAATGTCTAGAAACGGGCGACTAATATATGTCGATTGACGGCCACATAGTGTGGCCATGTTCTCTGCATTATTTCTACCGTAAGGAACATTATTTTACAAAAATCTCTAGTAGATTTTAGACAAAATCTATGAAAAGGATCATTTAACATTTTAACTATACAAAAAAGATATTCCCTTCTTGTAGTACGAGATACATTTCAGGAAAATATACCCTCATTTTTCTTATGATGATGACAAAAGGATTATTTTAACATTGTTAAATAATCCGTACATTAAAAATTAGAAAACAGGTTGTCTAGCTTAATCATGGGCTAATTATATTAATTAAATAAAACTAAATTTGAATTTCTTTTTTATATCTTACATGTAGTGTGGCTTTATTTTTAATTTTGTTATATTTATTTTTCTTTCCATAGACTATCTTTTTGTATTCATCATTACTACAAAGTAATTTCAATGTTTCACATCTAGCAGGCTCAATAATTATTTCCATATTCCATCGTCTCTTTAGTGTAAAAAGACTTTGGGTACCGTTACGAGAATTCATTACAGTTTCTACAATGAGTTTTTATTGTATCTTTTTGTTTTTAATTATTTTATATTACATGATAAGATAAATCTTTAAAATGTGAAAAAATTGATAATTTTGTTTTTTGTCTTATAATTAGATTAGTGGCGGGATATAGAAAAGAGCGGCTGAATCTTATATCGAAACAAATGTTGCAGCTTTAAAAAAATACGATTACTTCTATGATCACCCAAATCTACTAAAAATCCTATATTAGGCGGACACTGCCAACACTTCGACATGTCTAGTAGTGCTCTCTGGTGAAGGTTTTTGGAACTAATTGTAGAAAACAAAAGAATTTTGTTTTGCCTACTCGCCCACAGATGGCAGAAGTAAAAATATAACTTCTATTGAACAATAGATGGCACTAAAACTGTCCTTTGTGACACAAAAAAACTACATAATTTTGTAATAGAATTAAATACAATATTTAATTCTAATACAAAATTACAAAGATCTGAGTAGATTTAACATTATAGTAATAACTTGAAACATCTCACACACGGCAGTCTTATCCCAAACTAGGCAGAGCCTGTACTATGGTCACCAGCCTACTGATAAACATCTTGCATAATTCTAAATACATAAATAATATAGATAAATGACACCCAGATATAGAACAAATGATCGTACTCATCGCACAATATTTGTCTTGGGTGGGAATCGAACCCACGACCTCCTAAGCAGTCAGGGTTACTAACCACTAGACCAATAGGACCAACAGGACCAACTAGACAATGTTACTTATTTGTGTTCGTAGCATAGATACGGTAGTGAACTTGAGTTACCATAACACTATTTAAAACTTCGATAAGTTCCTTACAAAAATATTGTACCTATTGATTATATAAATATTAGTTTATTACTATGTTATCATTTTTACAATTAGACAAATGTAAGTACAACAATGCACTACTGTCAACTCCCTTTAAAATATGTGTACCTACGTACGTTAGTTTACAAACAATACAGAAATTGCCCCCTGTTTTAGGTACACAGACTTGGTGCCCCGGTGATAAGCCTCAAAAATGGTCCTACAATGCGTAATGTTTCAGTTATAATAGAAACCCTTTTTTTGGCTACTGTGGTTTGACTTTATCCTGCGAACTCATTGGAACAACTCAGATCAGTAGAATTTCACCCTCATATCACTTAGCACTGAGTATCTAACTTGTGTAACATATAGTGTTGTTAATTAAAATTGATAAGGATTTTCTTGAAGGTCACTGGAAATATGTGCGCTAATAAAAGTGCAATAGACGTCGTTGATGCATGTCTTCAGAAATGAGGTTAACTACCTTCTAACTTCTTTTTATCCAAGAATTTGTGGAGGAAACCTAGGATAAATCACACAAGGGAATCTGTTTAAGAGGTACTAATACCATTCTACTAAATTGTATCAATTTACATCTTTTATTAGTTTCCTCGTTTTTATAGTGTACTGTATTGTGCTGTAGGTAACTATAATGAAGTTAAAAATTATTAATTAGCTTAATAGGTACACAATACACACTCAATACGCACAAAATTTTAAAATATGGGATCGAAATACTCAAATACTTGTACAAAACTAGGTAAATAAAAAACAAGTTTTTGTATGTATCTAGTTTTGAAATTTCATACTTAGATGTGTCCCTTTAAGTACTTAACTAACTTCTTTAATATTATACGTTTGTTAATATACCTATTATACTTTTCTTTACTTTTTTTGGATCGTCGAAAGTTTGTTTCATCCTAACCCTCGTGATCGAGCTGTCCACAAATTAAAAAAGTAAAGATTATCAGTTGAACAACAAACTTTAGCTTATAAAGTATGGTTATAAATGTCTTTGCACAAAATAGGAGAGGAAAAGGTACCTATGTGTTAAGGGTTGTAAGTATGACATAGATACGTCCCTACTATGTCGGTTGGAACTACTTTTCATTCTTTCTTCGCATTTGCTTTGCTATGATTTTTATGTATGTTACCCCATCAGTGCTTATTTGAAGAAGCGGTGTTCAGTCATTAGCAACATACTCTGTAACGTAATAGTCAAGTCAGCTACGCCGCTGTTGTGTTGACAGCAGTACTTGGTCTGCATTACTTGGAATATGAGGTCATAGGAGATTAGAGTGTGACTAATCAGCCGTGAGAAACGTGTATAATCTTCAGGTTTTTGTAATTATTACTTTTATTCACTTCAGACCCTCAGGTCTGAAGAGTATCATTGGCAATTCGGCGTTTAACGTAAGCAAAAAGAAGTTTCATAGTTTTCAAAAAAGATAGGCATAGGCATTTAGTGTGATAGCGTTAAAAATGAACTCGTCATCGTGTACTATAAACGAACAGTGATAACAGAGGTTTGATTTAAAAATTTATAATTGTTCTCAAGAATAAATAAATGATTTCACTTTAACCCTTTATTTTTTCTTTTCGTCTTTATTTTCTACTGTAAAGAGATTCATCACTACGAAAATTTTATAACGATAAAATTTGTCTTTTACTGCAATTAATGTGTGTTGAGGCGACCTTAAAGAAAGGTGTTAATTTTAATAGGCAAAGTAAAGTTATGAATGAAGACCACAGTTTACTTATTTGACCTAAATCATAAGTAACTGTGAAAACAAATACTGGAACTATGTAGGTTCAAATTTGATACTCGTACTTATGCTCTACTTCCTTTGTATCCCTAACAAAACTAATCTTACCGAACCGAGTAAGAATATCAAGTAACTACATAGCACAAATAACCCAAACCAATAAGGCAGCCATAGAAAATGGACGAAACAAAATTGGTAATTCCATTTTCCAGGTTGGTTTTTCGAGACACAATTAGGACATTTTGTTGGAGTCCGGGCCGTGTAATAAAATTAAGGAGACGCCCCGGTCTGACGGTCGCGGTAAGTCGATGTCTTCGGTGGGCATAAAACAAATCCGCCCGAGCCGGCCCGTGAGGACTGCCAGCCGTGATATCCGTAGAGACTTCAAAGTTGTTTTATTTTTTATTATGTTTTTTTTTGTTGGTATTTTCACTTTATTTATTAATGATATTTATAAGTTAATGGTTGATTTGAATTTCCGCAGACGTCCTTTTCTCAAAAGACTGAAAATTTGAATAAGTTACGAGGGAAGACATTGAACTTACATTAAACAACACATTTAAGTATGAGATGATTAATTTTATAATATTATAGCAAATAAATTGTTGTTTTTTTTGTGATATAGGGGGGCAAAGGAGCAGACGGATTAACTGAGGCCCAAGTGCGAGTTTATTTCACATCTACGTCACGGTGACCGCGTTCGGCGCTGTGATTGGCCCGCACTGAAATCTGCACGAGAGCGAGATGATGTAGGCCCTCTGATGGTAAGTGAGAACCGCCGCCCATGGACACGACACGTGCAACTCGAGAGGCATAAGTGCGATGCCACCCTTTCAATCGCTCCAACCCAGAATCAGGGGAAAATACCGGTTCCATACCCTCCTTGGGTATGGAACCGGTATTTGTTCTTAAGACTTACCTACTTAACTACCACACTGTATGTACATAAAACATATAATATGACAGTTAATGCCTTATACATCTTGTGTCAGGCAACCTCCTGAAGACGCAGAGTAGATGTGAAAATATGTAATTGAAAACACAACGGTTTAATAAGTGTGCAAACTTAATATCAACTAAATAATACTCAAATGTAGTACATTGCATAAATCACATATCAATAGGTGTAAAATAATTAGTAAATATCACTAATTCTAAAGAAAAACAGATCTAACCAAGGTTTCTGTCCGCTTTTTTCATTGATGAATGTAGCTGTAAATTGAAATTCTAAATAAAATCGCGCCAAGTATCGAATTATCAAATTTTGAATTACATTTTTAAAGTATAATGTTTGTTAGAATGGAGTATTCCTTACTACGTTTGTAGTTCTCAAGTTCTATTAGGTCGTTATGAAGAAATATTTATTTGTTCGAGTCATACTATACAGCAATCTGATATAGGTATAGGAGTAGGTAAAGCATTATAGAGAAGTCAATGTAGAGAGGCAATATAGCGGCAAGCGCGTGTTAGAAAAAAAGGAAGGCCTTATAGCGACTCCATAGCTGTCGTCACGTGCGCGTTGTTCACATATTCTGAATAACACTTCAATACCGAGTCCTAACGCACTATCCACTGGCCATAGACAGTAGCGCTCATAGTACCACGTGACACGACTCGATATAACGCACCATTTTGTTTGTATATCAAATCGGTAACAAGGTGACTTTGTAAATGGACAGGACGTGGTTATGTCTTGTTTAGCTCTCAGTTTTCTTT